CAAATACCTCCTCTTGGAACTGCAGCAGCTGTACCACTAGGTTGGATAATGATTTATTGGTAGGGGGTTCTGCTTGAATGTACTGTGGGGGGGGGGGAAAGGATTGAGACTTTAGATAAATCCAAGCCAAGTCTTCCTAGTAGCTTCTCTTTTAAGTCACAACCAAGCGGTACCAAAAAAGCATCCACCTTCCATTTTGGTTTGAAACAACTAATAGGGAGTTAAGTCCCAATCTAAAATGAGATTAGAGCTTTTTTTCTTTACCTTAAAAAAGAAAGGAAATAGAGAAAAGGAAACTCCAGATAATACAGGAAAACATTAAAACTAGATCCCATGTCACCTGCTAGGACAGTGGTGGCGAACCTATGGCATGGGTGCGCACTCAGAGCCTTCTCTGTGGGCAGGCGCACCGCCGCCCCAGTCCTAGGCCTTTAGCTGGGTTTTATAAAACCTTTTCGCTTTAGGCCTTTGCCGCTGTGTGCAAAAAAAAAAAAAAAAAAAAAAAAGGTTCAATCAATCAATTTCAACTTCTCGCGGAGGAAAAAAACATCTTGCAAAGTTGGAATTGATTGATTGAACTATTTATTCCCACCCAGTCTGCTGTTACCACTGCAGCCATGCCCACCCAATTGGCCACGCCCACCCAATGGGCCACACCCAGCCAATGGGCCACACCCACCCGGCACTCGATGATTCATAAGTGGGTTTTGGGTTGCAGTTTGGGCACTCGGTCTCTAAAAGGTTCGCCATCACTGTGCTAGGATTAAAAATTGGGAAGAAACAGTACTCCTTGAGAGATCTAGTTCTACATACAAAGCACCAGAATTTTTCTTTTTAGAATTTGCAGTCATAGTACATTTAGTATACTTTCTAAGAAATCTTAATGGGACCATTACAATGTTTAAAGTTCACAATAGAACTGTGGATATTGGTTACCAAGATGAATATTTCTAGCAAAAAAATAAAATGAAATGAAAAACCCCTACCTTATTGAGCACATTTTTTATTTAATTTAAACTGGCCAGAATTTTACAATGTGGATATTATATCCCCCAACTTTACTATAAACTAATTTCAATTCCTGGCAAATAGATGGGGAAGAAATGGAGGTAGTGACAGATTTTATTTTTCTGGGCTCAAAGATCACCTCAGATGGGGACTGCAGCCAAGAAATTAAAAGACGCTTGCTCCTGGGGAGGAAAGCTATGGCAAATCTAGACAACATTCTAAAAAGCAGAGACATCACCTGCCAACAAAAGTGCGTATAGTCCAGGCCATGGTTTTCCCAGTTGCAATGTATGGCTGTGAAAGTTGGACCATAAGAAAGGCTGAGCGCCAAAGAATGGAGGCCTTTGAACTCTGGTGCTGGAGGAGACTCCTGCGAGTCCCCTGGACTGCAAGGCGATCCAACCGGTCAGTCCTAGAGGAGATCAACCCCGACTGCTCTTTAGAAGGCCAGATCCTGAAGTTGAAACTCAAATACTTTGGCCACCTAATGAGAAGGAAGGACTCACTGGAGAAGGGCCTAATGCTGGGAAAGATTGAGGGCAATAGAAGAAGGGACGACAGAGAATGAGATGGCTGGATGGAGTCACTGAAGCAGTAGGTGTGAATTTAAATGGACTCCAGAAGATGGTAGAGGACAGGAAGACCTGGAGGAACGTTGTCCATTGGGGTCGCGATGGGTCGGACACGACTTCGCAATTAACAACAACAACAATTTTATATTAGATTATGTGGGATACAGCATTTTTTTTAAAGGCCATTATTTTGGCCTCAGATAATGCTACTGACATTGATGTAAATTAGTTCATGTTACTCAATGCTCATTTCATTTCTCAGTAGATAAAACAGGATTTCTTTCACATATCAATTCTTAGAAATCTCTTCTAGACATGAAAAAACAGAATCCGGTATCATATAAAAGTATATACATGGTCTCCTTTTGTGATTCTTCATATATCTTCAATTACATATTAATTGTATAAATGTATTCTCCAGAGATTGGGAGACTCTGATGCAAAATCTGGGAGTCACAGGAAAAGAAGTTTTTCTCTTCTGGTTTGTTAGTGGGAACAGCTTCTCCTGATGTTAGAATACCAATAGATTAGGACTGATTAGCACAGTGTGGAGACATTGCAAATGCTAATAAATTGCCTATTACATTCCTCCTGCTTAAAATTCTGCTTCTTAGTGGCTTGTCTATTATCCTACTGGTTTTTAAGGAAGTATGTTAGTTAGGGAAAATGAGATGCATGAGGAATTTACTTTTCGTCTTCAAAGAAAAAGGACATAATTTTAATTTGGGAGAAGGGAAAGAAAACAGTTGTTGAATATAAATAGACCAAAACTAATTCTGTATATCTTTATGTAGAAATTCATCCATGTTCAAATATATTTTTTCTGTTCAAGTGTACACTGGACTATAAATGTTTAAAAAATTGTTCTAAGGAAACATGGTAAGTTTTTAAAGTAACTGCTTACAGCAATTATATTGCACTGTTATATAATAGTGCACTATTGCATTATCCTTAACAAAGATCAAGGATCTGCAACTTTCCTTCATAAGTAGAATATGGATATGCACGAATGTCATTCAACTGTTGATTTGGCCAGAAACGGGAATGTGTGTACATTGACAAGGAAAATGCCTAAACAGAATTTACTTAGCAAAAATATTAGCATCCAATTGTTGGACTGCGTTACTAATTTTTAGTAATAATAGTGTAGGATACAAATGGGAAAGGAAATGGTCAAGAGATATGATTTAGGAAAATGGTGAACTGTCAGGACACAAGCTGTCACTCTAAAAAGTGTTGCCTGAGGATTCAGCCACTCTCTTTCTCTTGAAGGTAAAAGCCTGAGAACCAGGTTCTGTGCTGTTTGCAGAAAGGCTGTAGTCCCCAAACAGAAGAGCCATGAGGATATAGAATATCCTCTTATCTAACTTAATAACATGACTCAGAGTTGCCCCTTCTATACTGTTTATGGACATAAATATTTGGATATGCGTATGTACATGTGTGTATATGTCTATAAAATAAATACCATGGATTCTAATACTGGTGTTTTGGCTTTTAGCTCCTTTCACCTGACTCGAGACTGAAAAGAAAATGTGAAAGAAGCAACTAACTGAACATGCAAATAGCATGAAAGAACAAAAGCAGTAATTCTGGTTGTCTTCCTGACCAGAATTCTCTTGCAAGAATGAGGCCCAGATGTAAAACTGTAAGCAAAGCACTGCCAAATTTGGCGAACAAGAATCCATTTAAAGAAATAAACAAAAGCAAAGTTAAATATTTGAAGGAGATTAAGGGAGGATTAAAGAATTTATCCTGGAAAAATAAGAACAAGCACAGCCCATCCACCTCCAAAAGAAAGATGCTCCACAACCTGTAAGCTTTTGCAGGCCAAAGGCCACCCTTATTATAATTAGGAAAGAAACTGTTGTCAATTTATGGATTGCTTATAAGAAGCTGAAATGTCACGGAAGGAAAAGTTTCAATGGAAAGGAAGGGTTAGCATTCAGAAGACAATAGGGCAGCAGGTGCTAAAAGGTCAAAGAGGGAGTCTCTTAATTCAACCAGTCTGGAACGGAAACCACCAGACATAATTGCCAGAAGGGAGGAGGATCTGCTATTCTATCGGGACAGAGTCGATTCAATCGATCGATGGCTTATTTGGGCTGAGGCAAGCGTGACGAGCAGCAAGGTGGAGTGAAAAGGGGAATTTTGAAGAAGAGGGGCCGCGGTTTTAAAGGACCCTCCGGGAATTGGGGTGGGGTCAAGAGAAATCCCACCATCTACCTCTACGGGGAGGGAAATCTCGCCTCTCTTCAGGTCCGCATTCCTCCTTCCCAATTTGGCAATGCCATCACCACCCACCCCGCCTCCTCTCCCCCCGAAGGGGCCCATCTTGCTAGGGAGAAGAAGGGGGGAAAAAAGGAAAGGAGAGGCGGTGGGTATCTGCGGGGCATCTCGGCCTGGGAGCAGAAGGATGGCGAGCGGGGTGGCTTCTGCGACGGGAGGGGGGAAGCGGAATGGGAGGAAGAGAAGCGCCCTTTCCCTCCCCCGGGAGCTTCCAGAAGGTGTCGCCTAAACGGCGGGGAGGAGCACCGGCAGGCCCAGGCCTGGCCAGGCCGGTACCTTCTTGTAGTTCTTGCCCAGCCAGACCCGCGTGCTGTCGAACTGACTAACGGTGTCCGAGGCCTCGTAGTACTTGACGTTGGGGCCGCCGTCCTTCTTCCGCACCGCCATTTTCCCAGCGCCGCCGGCCTGGGCCGCGCCGCTCTCTAGCTGCGCGCCGCCACCGCGGTCGCCAGCGCCTCGCTGCGCCCTCTGCCGGCCGCGCGTGTGCTCTGCCTTCCGATCCCGAAAGCAGCGGCCCCTGCCGGCGAAAAGGAAGAGAAAGCCTGACCGCTGAGGGTAGCCCAGGTCGGCTGGCCTCCTACTGGCCCAAGGTGATCTTAACCCGGAGCGGAAGGCGGGAAATGCCTTCGCTGAAAGAACAGCCTTCCAGCCCGTAGCTGAATAATAAAAAGAACGCGTTTGTTCTGTGTGCTTTTCATTCTACAGCGGTATCTGTGCAGGCAGGGGGTTAAATCATGACGGTTTCGTTAAATTTAAACTTTAATCGGTGGCACCTACATTTCTACCATCCTTGCTTTCTTCCCGATGTTCCGTTGTAGAGCGGGAGGAAAGACACCTCAACTAATTAGCTGTGGCTAATTAGCTAACTAGCTCAATAAAGAAATACTGATTAAGGAAATGACTGATGAGGAGGAAGACGATCGTCCAAGCATTTAGGTTATCTTAAAGAACTGGATTGGAAATCGCCTTCTTCTTCTTGTGCCATATCCGTTATCGGACGTTGGCGATCGCCTGGGACGTGACAATCCCAGGAAAGCCTACCGCCTGTCTCGGCTGCGATTCCAAAAGATCTCCTTCGGCGTGACGCAATCGAGTTGTGTAAAACGCTTGTGTCAAGTCGCCTTAGTGAAACTTGGCGCCCAGATCTGTTTGTTTTCACGAGCCTTCCCTTCCTTTTCACACTGGAAGCCTGCGGGCAGGGATGGTCTGGTTTTGTGTAGAAAACATCACATTTTATTGCTTATCTGCATCTCTTTCGGCTCAACTGCAAGAATCCGGGATTTCCCTTGACCTGGTAAGAAGGAATGGGAAATCTTTTAGGGGACGTCCTAAAGATGTGACAACCTCAGTGTCAGGTCATTTCCTTTAACACTACCATGATTAGAAAGGCACTCTGTACATGTGCAGGAGCTCTTCTTGAGTACTAATGCACGCTTCCTAGAGTTCAAGCAATGGGGGGGGCAACCTCAAGTCTTCTGGAAAAAGGAGACCAGAACAGGTTAGCTTGAGGAAGGGGGGGATAAGACGGAGGGGGAAAAGTTAGAAGGACAAATTGGAAACGGAGGTGAAGTTCAAAAATGGAGTCCGTATTGCGACTACGCCAGGCAGGCAGAGAAGCCATGCAGGCGAGAAGTACATGAGCGCCAAGGCGTCGAGAAAAGAGCATCGGTGCTTTCTTTTAGCTGAGTGCTGAGTTGGGCCGGCGGGAAAGCTTTTCGCCTTCTTCCCTTTCCCGAAAAGAGGGTTTCCACTGCGACGTCCTCTTCTTTCTTTCCCACTTTTCTAGAAAGGAACCGGGAGGGAAGGAGGAAATCCAGCCTCTCGATGGATCTGTCTAGCTGAAGCTCCATGCAGCCCTGGCCTGAGAGTCACGGTGGCCGAGTGGTTAAGGCGTTGGACTCGAAATCCAATGGGGTTTCCCCGCACAGGTTCGAATCCTGTTCGTGACGACGATCTCGTTTTGATGGCGAGCGATCCCACCAGCTTTTGATGATCGCCGACTGGAAAAGGGAGCCCGCTCGAAAGCAATGGGGGGAAAAAAAAAAAAACACGTGGTGGGACGGAAAGAGAACGAGTCGCTCGCTCCGGCCTTCAAGGCAGTCCATGTGAAGGAGCTCGATTGGGCGGCCTCCGGTGGAAGAAACAAAGGAAGACATGCGCTGGCGGAGCTCGCTAGCTTGTGGATCATTCACTTCGTAGACCAAGATTCTGTCACTTTCAGGCAGGGCGTGGACGTAAAGCAACTTACTGCGCCTCGCATTTTCATTTTTGACTCGGGAAGCAAACTTGCTTGAGGGTAACTTTATCGTCCCTATACGGCTAAGCTTGATTTTTGTGATAGCTGCAATTGCAAAAGGTAAAAGAGCAGGAAAGAAATCTCAGCAAAACAACTTTGCCATGCTAAGAATATGGGCGTGACATGCCCATCTAGATTATCAGGAGTTGAGCTCGTTTGTTGGTGCCTTTCCCTTTGTAGAAAATGTCACCCTCCGTATTTTGTAAATAAATTCGGTAAAGCAATGACATCTCCTAAAACAGCATAGTTTTGAAGGAATTGGCAACAGGATTTAAATGGACTGGAATGGACTACTGTAAGATCCTTTTTGGATGGTTCCCCAAAGCTATTTTCACGGATACTAAATCTGGACAACTGGGTGATTTACAAAGGATTAATAATATCAAAATACGATACACAGCATGCACGCACACACTATACTGGGACAAATAAACTCTATTTTACACCCAGTTTGATGAATTCACATAACATCTCAGCCCATAACATCCTGAGGAAGAGCCCTGTCTTAAAAGGCCTTCCTAATGCCCTCAGGGTTGTGGAGAGAGAGGTGCTGTAAGGATAATCCCATGGTAAGATGGATGGCCAATAAATGTAATAAATAAAATTAATAAACAGAGAAGGCATGCCTCATGGGTCCCCTGTGGGGGTGAGTTATTGATGGGATGAAAGCAAACTGGCCAGTCTGGTCCTATGGGATAGGCAAAGACAATTGGAGACAAATCTGTGGACTCTTCTAATCTTGCCACTAAATTGTACTTTCCAATGTGACAGAAGAAGGGAAGTTATTACTTTTTTAAAAAAAAATTATTTGAAACAGCTGTCCAATTCCAAGTCCAGAATACTGAAGGCATTTCTGGGTGAACATCAGATCAGGGAACCTAAGTACAGTTTGTTCGTTTTGCAAGAGTTGAACTTCGATTCCACCCGAAATCCCATCCCCAGAAGTCCCCTGCTTTTGTGAACCATCTTGGAACAGCGTCTCACCATGGACAGCACAGCCTGAGGTGTGCTATGCTGGGAATATAAAGGAAGTTCCTGTCTGCCCTCTGCTGGGAGAGAAGCTGAAGAGCTGCCATTTTGAATTTAAAAATTGCAACCATCAGGAACTGGCTGAAGCCAAGACTAGTGGCTTTGGGGAAAAGCTGCCTCAATGGTGATTGGCTCAATTTCTACTCCCTTGTATACTCTGAGTACAATCTGGCTACTTTCCACAGTGCATATGCCAGGCCAGGCCTGACCCTAGGAAAAGTATTTCTTGTTTTGCTCTCTAGGAGAGCAATTCTGCACTGTTTTCCTGCCTTGGAAAATGAAATGCTATTTGCTAGTCCAATTGGGCAAAGCTATTATTATACAGTAGCTCAATAGAGAAGCTGGCTTTTTTGGCTTGCGAATTGGGGAGAGATTTGCTCTTCGGACACATAGATAGCAATATTTGGGAACTTTTTTGTCTGTGTGTTCTCAAATCAGTATTTGCTCCTGGCAACAGCCTGAATTAGTCCCTGAAGTTTTCTTGAAAAGATTTTAAAAGTGGTTTGCCCTTGTCTCTTCCCTAGAATTGAGAAGCCTAAAGTCACTCAGCTGGTTTATGCCAAATGCGAGACTAGAACTCCTTGTTTCCCATTTTTTAGCCTGGTACCTTAATCACTACACCAAACTGGTTCTCTTGGAAAATCTACTTAAGTTTACAGTATTTAACATTGCTTTTTGATTTTATATGCCACTACATGAGTTGAACAACCTGTGCTCTCCAGATATTGAACAACAATTCCCAGCATTCATTGCCATTCATAATTCATAGTTAATTACACTATTGGGAGCTATAGTTCAGCAATACCTGAATATCCCATTCCTGTTCAAATACCTTAAAATATTTTAATGCTAAACACAGGAAAGTAGAACAGTATTTACAGAAGTTCATGACCCAGGGACACCTTAATCTCCTCCTGCTTTTGAGAATTGAAAACAATTATTTTCATTATTTTCTTTAGGCTCCATGTGACACCAGGGACGTCTAAAGTAAAGGTGGAAGGCAGCTGTAACCTAGCAGTTATGAAGCAGTAGAAGTCATACTGGCAGAAAGAGGAAAAGACTGACACAATCTGAGGAAGAAGCAGAGGAAGCTGTGGAAAATAATGGAAGAAATCAGGGAGCTTTACAGGTTGACCCAACTTGGCTGGGATGAAAGAAACAGTGTCATCTTGGAGATCTGGGGAAAGTTAGGCTACAATAAAAATGTGTCGGTAATTGAACAAAAGTTTTAAAAGAGTGCTTGTGCTTGGGAGTTTGTATTCAGAATTTTGGACAAGTTACTTATCATTTAGCTTTACCTATTTAATCTGCTGTGAAGTGTTTGGTCACTAGCTACACACATCACTGAAATCTTTTTTTTTTTTTTTGCTTACCTAGGAATTTTAACATTTCAAATGTCCCTGCTTGCCCAGAACATTTGGAAATCTGCACTGTAATCTGCACTTGAGATTAGAACATAAAATAGGGCTACATCAAAGATTACGTTGAAGGAACATTATACCCAACAGAGAGCGAAGAATACATTACAGTATAAATATAAGCTAACACACCAATTGTTACAGTGACCTTGTAACAATTACCTACCCTTTGACTGTTTTTGTTGTGTAGGCAAATGAAATATATGGGAAGAGTATGGACACTTATATAAGTAAGAATATTTACAAATATGCAGAAGTCAAGTCCTATTGAAGATGTTAGAATGGTCAAAGATGCAATTCCACTTATATTGCTTTACTTCAAATAATATAAATGGGAATTTTATATCTGACTATTCCAATAAACAGAAGGGCTAATTATATCTGAGTAGTCTAAGAGTAGTTTTCAACATCTCCTTGAGGCCATCTAGTGGCTATCTGAATTTCTGCAACTCAGATACAATAGTCCTAATGAATGACAATACATAATCATTTTATCATCATCACCTCTCCAAAATAGCAGGTATTCTCTTTGCAATTGAGGGTAATCTAATTCAGAATTTAATTCTCCTCCTCCAGATGATTTGGACTACATAAAGTTCAAATGAATATGGCCAATAAACAATAATGATTGAAGTTAAAGGTATGATTTTCAAAACATCCAGAGTGCATCACTCCTAATTTAAAAATTGCTTCCCTAATTATGGTACTATATACGCTCCAGTTTGTCCAGTTAGCAAGCACATAACTGTTCTATCTGGGCAATATTACACCTGAAAATATTATTGTAGTTAGAAAATTACTGTAACAAACTGAATAAAAATGCCATTGCTATGCATCTGCAAGAAAAATTAATATTGTACTGAATATCTTGGGTTCATAAATATACATATGCTGCGGGAGCACCTAGTTCCTTGAAACCCCTTCCCAGTCATTTATACATTACAGTAGCAGGTTCGGCTATATAAGCAGTTATCAACAATAAACTGGGATGAGGAAAGGATTTAGAAAATAATATTAAACATAATTGGGGCGATTTCCAGTTCTGGAATGCGGCGACGCCAGTCGCACCTGGAAATTTCTCTCCAGGCTGTCCGGAGTTTCCTTCGCCGGTAGACACCCTAGGGGTTCAAAAATCGCCCTGGAGGGGCGACCACCGAGGAGGAGGCCGGCTGGTAGATAGGGGAGGGTGGCAGCTTCCCCCGAATCTCCAGGTTCTCCTTAGGGCCAACGGAGCAAAGATTGGCCTGTAAGATGGCCGATCACCCTGCTGCACCAGCCGAAAGTCACATCGTCATCTAAGCGTTAACGACCCATCACGGATGATCCGGGTGAGATCCCTTTTGTTCCTCTCCATACCCCTGCTGTTTTTGCCTGTAGAAACTGTTTGTGCTATCATTTCCCCGTCTGGAGAAAGCAGCTTTAGTAATCGTGGGAACAAACGCGTTTTACAAAAAGGACAGAAAAAACAAATAAATATTCATTTAAAGACTATACTCTATTCCTACTTACATTGTGCTGTAGAAAAAAACTATTTTTTGTGTTTTTTGGAGCGGTATTATATCGGCAGAGTATTTCTTTTTCTATTCTCCCTTTAAAAGATAGAAAAAAGGAAAAAAACTGGCGTTTGAAGAAATTTTTTTAGCTCACCGAGGACACCTACTGGTCAAAAGTTAATATTGGATTGTTGTTTATTTGGAGATGAGAGAGCTTTGGCCTTCAAACTGTTTTTCAAGAAAAAAGATAATTTGAGCTAGCTGTGTGATCTGTGGGGGTGGATAATGTTCAACTGTAACCTTCACTAAAAAGGAAAAGGACTCTTCTTTAACTATTGCTAAAATGGAGAAGCCTCAATCACACTTAAAACTGTAAACTTATACTGGAAAAGATCTATGAGGCTAAAGAAGAAATATGTACTACAATAAAAGAGGCTACTACAGAACTAAGAGCCAGAATCTCTACTTTATAACTTAAAACTGACTCCCAGACTACACTTGACTACTCTGCAAAACAGATTATACAAGAAGAGGTTTTAACTGAGGATAAGGAGAATCTTATTTTGCCTTACAAGCAAGATCAGGAAAAGCAAAGACCAAACTTCAGACTTCTGAAGCAAAAAGGCTTTATTGACAAGAGAAACAGAGGATTAAATCAGAGATCAAGGTATCGAATCAAGTGACACTACAAGCAACAAAAAGAGACCTATTATCTGGAAGGGAAGCCCTGTTATGGAAACCTAGCTGGCAAAAGAGGAAAGCTAGAATAAGATTGAAAAATGAAATTTAAAATTTCTTAAATTGGATTAAAGGCAACCTAGAACTATGGACTGATGTAAGGACTGAGATTTTGAGTTTGAAGTAAAAAGATGTCTTAGAGTTGGAGTGAATCAATAATTAATTGAATGTTAATTAAATAAGACGTTTGTCCTATAACATGTGAAATTTAAACTTAAAGGATTGAAATGATTTAAGGTTTGATATTAATTTAATTCAAAGAGATTGATTAAGGATTAGATATCTATAGAATAGTTTGATAAATACATACATTTAGATGTGTCTAGGATAGATTAATATTTTTGTTTAAAAACGAGATATCTTTCTATATAAGGGATTAAAGACAATTTAGAATACTAGGAATGTTCCTTTTAGAGTGTTAAGTTTATTTCTATGAAAATTATGATGTAATGGAATGACGAAAATTGAAGAGATGTTTCAGATTTGAAGTGAACTAATAGTTAATTGAAATTTAATATGATTTTCTGATGATATGGACGTTATTAGTCATGATAATTAATTGGAAATTTGAATTTTGTTTAATAGAATGACATGATTTAAGGTATGATATTTTTTTTAGCTTGAAGAGATAGATCAATTGATAGATTTGATAGGTACAGGATAGATTAATATTTTACTCTAAATAAGGGAGAGTAATGGAAGAAGAAACAAATAAGATTTTGATAAAATTAAGAAAGTAGAACATATGTGGAAGGGATATTTGAATTGAAAATGTTTTTATTTAAAGTTAATTTGATTATGGTAGAAATTGATGAAGCTTAAAAACAGGTTCAGGTTGAATAAATTTAAGCTAGAATTGGATATTCTAAATATATTATGCTATTTGAGGGAAAAAGAGAGGGAATATTTGACGTATTGATTATATTATGTATATATGTCTTGTTTTAAGACAGTGGTTCTCAACCTTTCTAATGCCGTGACCCCATAATACAGTTCCCCATGTTGTGGTGACCCCCAAGTGGGTGTGGCCACCAATAAGAGGGAGTAGGACAGCTAGGAAAAGGGAACAAAGTGGTGGACAGCATGGTTTGGCGACCCCCATGAAATGGTCGTTCGACCCCAAATGGGGTCCCGACCCACAGGTTGAGAACCACTGTTTTAAGATGTTTGATTACCCCAACACCACGGTGTGTCCTGAATATGTTGTTTTAAGAACTTAAAAAACCAATAAAATTTGTTTAAAAAAAAACATAATTGAGGCAGTGTATTTTTCTCCTCAGTTGAGTGCCTTGCTTAGATTCTGAAAGTGAAATTAGGAGGAAATCTAACAGCCTAACATGTTTCTCCTAATGTTTACTGTTCAGTTTATAGATTTCAAGGACCTTGCATTTCAGTTCCAGCCATGATGATCTGGAGTTGAATAAATACACTTTTATTCAGTTCTTATTGCATAACAGGTTAGAAAGCACTATTTTCAGAACAAGTCATTTCAGCAAGAATAGCCTAAAGACGTTGTTTTAAATTTTAAATTGAGATTTAACTTCTGTGTAAAAATTGTGATGTTGGATTTGGACAGGCTAAACAAAGAGTTCAGCTGACTGTATCAAATGTAAAGGAGAACAAAAGAAAAAACAGCAGATAAATAGGCAGAACCAGTAAGAAATGGCCTCCCGTAGTAAGTCCTAATGATTAAAGGGGTAAGACTGATTCCATCTATAGTTATCAGTAATGTCTGTAAAGAAAATAGAAGCTCTGTGGGACTACTCAGTTTGGATTATATATGTTCTTCATTGGGCATTCATTAAATTCAAACCAGTTGACTTGGCAATAGGCACAAAATATTTGATAGGATTTTAATTTGGCTCATATCTAAATGGACATTTCCAAAAAGAAGGCTTTAGAAACAAATGTAGCATGAAAGAGGCCTTATGCTCATGGCATCTGTAGCACACCACTTTTAATATATGCTAATATACCTAGGCCTTTTCCCTCCTTCCTATAACATCACAATTATATTTCAAGACACCTTGAATGCTTGTATAAGTCGACAAGCGTGATATAAATCTAAATGAATATATTAGGAAATCTCAACATGCTGCATTCAATAGCCAAGCTTGAACTAGAAGCCCCTTCCATTCTGTCAGATTTGGGGCACAAATCTTTGATTGCCCCTTTCTCCTAGTTGTACATTGGAAATGCAAATGAAAAATATTCCCAAACAAAAACTGCCATCTTCTGTTTCTTGCCAGCAAGTTTCATTATTGCAATTGCTTAGCTTAAGTCAAGTGATATTTTGGCCCTTTTTTCTTCTTGTTTTTAGTTTAGTCATTCAGAAAAATGGGAGACCGAGTATCTCAAACATATTTCTCTTAAGAGTTAAGAACCAATTTGCACTACAAGCTTAGATAGAGGACAAGAAAATGGGGCTAGCTAAATCAGATCAGTAATTATGAAAGGAGGCCACTGATCTATCCGGGTCCCACTCTAAATAGAAATCATTTGTGGGTCACCTGGGAAGCCTTTGTTGTAGGAATTAGGGAAGAAAAATGGTGGCAGAAGAGCACGACTACTAACAAGGAACCAAGCAGCTTTGCAAGAGGAGGTTAATCCAAAAAAAAAAATAAAAAATAAAAATCAAGCAGTTTTGCAGATGTGTCATGCAAGATGCAACATCCTATATAATCTAAATGAAATACAATATATAAAGGAGTCAAGGGGAAAAAAGCAATTTATTAGTGCAGTCAGCACAATTGAACAATAAAACACAAAATGCAACCAATGGTTTGGATACTGGCAGAAGACATGACAAGTTCTATTGGATGTTTTAGAGCACAAGGAAGAGCGACAGCAGGACACTGAGGAGAAAGACAAGGTGTATTAGGAGAACAACATTAAGAGATGCAGATAGCTCAAGATGCAGTTATTAGGTTGGATTTAGCAGCTTTTTTTTTTTTTCAAATTCCTGAGCAACAGGGACTTTTGGTTAGAAGTAATTTCCAACAAATAAAAACCCCTTTCAAAACATGCCATATTACAGACATGAACACAACCCATTCCACCCTTTAAACTGACCTGATTTTTGATGCACATTCCAAATATTTTAACATGACTTACAAAGAGAAGTACTATTCAAAAAACTTTTAAGATACTTGTAAGTAATAATTCACAGCACTAGAAACAGTTATCAGAGACAGACTTGGTTTCTAAAACAAAACTCTACCATCAAAGGGGTGTGGATGAGGAAGAAGAGAGAGGAAGAGCATAAAGCAGTAAGTCAGCAAAGATTAAAATGAAAGATTGCAGGAAATGAGGACCCAGCAGTGCAAAACCTATCAGTCAGATTTGCAAAGAAGTAAAGGCCACCAAACTGAGTCTTCAAAGCACAGGCTTTTCCCATAAAAGAAAATCTGAAACAGCATCTGCCCAGCAAATATTGAGAATTATTCACAATCTTTATTTGTACAAGTGATGAAAGGAGTTTCTTTTGTTAGGTGACTGAAATTGAACTACTGCATATTCCCCCCAAGGTCCCCTCTCTCCTCTTTCATAGAAGACAAAGATTGCCAGTAACCAACAGGAACGAGAACCATATTGCTACAACATGGATTCTCCACCACGGGCTCATCATGTAGTATTCGGCCGCTTAACTATTGCACATAATGAGAAAGTTTCCCATGCTTCTTCTGGTGAGAGCACAAGGAGGTCTTCTCAAGCCATTGTTCCTACTGAGGATTTCTGGGAGCTTTTTTTTTTTTTTTTTAACCCCAGACATCTGAAGAAGCAACTGTTTATATGACACGATCCAAATTCTGCATCATTGCAAACCTCTTATACCAGAGCACTAAGAAAATTAAACGCTAGGAGAAGAAAGTCAAGCCTGGTTTAAATATTCCCAGTTAAAGAAGAATGTTTAGCCAGTGTAACATACTGTACGAAAGCTGCTCAGAATGGACTGTATAGCAAAACACTTCAATCAGAGCAGTTTAACTGCTCCTTTATCGATGCATTTATTCCTTGTTCTCAAGAACTCCAGCACAACTGTTTTAAGCAATTAACAAATATTTAAAGCGTTGGAAGGAAGTTGCTCTCTATATAAAAACAGAAACCGAGACGGCAAATAAATTAAATTTGACAGGTAAAACTAAAACTGAAGACATTCCTAGCTACTGTATTTTTTAAAAAAATCAAAAGGAAAAACATACAAGCACAAAAATAATACAAAAAGACTAAGCACAATCATCAAAATGTGAAAAAAGAAAATAAATACAGATGATTTGTTTTTCAAAATAGGCAAACGTAACAAGACTAGATAAGAAATCTGAGTTCGTTCTCTTTTTTTGTGTGTTTTCTTCAAAAGGTTATGAAGTTGATACAACTTTAAATGGCACATGCAATTTAGAGGGACCATTTCTGATCAGGTGGAGTGATGTATACGATTGAAGGCTTGCTTCTTATCAGAAAGGAGACGTCCGCAAAGCATCCAAAGACGCTTCGGCAACCTTTCAAGAGCATGGAGAAAACTGAGCTCTAGGCTTCAGGAGAATCACATTTCATTCTGCAGAGGTGACAACGATGCAACAAAGCTAAAGAACATGACTTCCTTTGAAAATCAAGCCAAAATAGGAGAGGACTGCTTGTTATACAATGTAAACGCATCCCAAATGTGTTGCAGATTGTTCTCCAAATGACGCAGCTTTTTGGCTCCACAAGACAGTTGAAGTTATCTACTGATGTATACATTTGGCATTACTTGCAACTCCAACTTGGCATCTACATTCTCACGTTTTACTCTTCCCTTCACTCAAAATCCTTCTCCACATAAAAGCTGAAGACGTATCTTAAAAGCACTGTGTAAATCCCATTATTTCACGGGCCACAGTGGAAAAGCATATGGTTTATACAGAGATGCCTTCGACAAGAGAAGCCAAACAGTCTGCGAAGTGGTGGGCTAAAATTCTTCAGAATAAATTTCAGCTTCTCAAAATCTTAAGTCATGGTTTATAGATCCCAAAACAGGAACCAGGCTATTTAGGCCAATAATCAGGCGTTCAAAGACTTTATAGGACTGAAGATCGCTGCTCTTTCTGGAGCAGGGAGAAATTTGTTGTGCTCCTTTGTAGACATTTGGAAATCTCCGTCAACATCAGACCAGGGTTAATGACCACAAGGAGAAGGGAATGCAGCACGGCATTTTGCATAAATTCCTGGGCTCGTGCCCAGTATAATTACGGAGTAGCATTTTATTCAACGAAGAGAAGAGTGATGCCCTGATACAGCACAACAGAACAGAATCAGTTGGCTTAGACATGGAGGGCATGTGTGTGTGTGTGTATGTAAATATATATTTTCAAGCACACTGTTTCATAATCTCTGCTGAGTCTTTAAATTTCTTCCACTCCATGTGCAAATATCATCACCAGGCCTGGCTCTAGCACCATCTCCTCTCCCATGTGCTGATTCTCACAGGCCATCACAACCACAGCTTGCTTGCCTGGGATGCGTTTGGCTACATAGTTTTCATAATAGCGTCGGTTCATCTGGCGAGTTTCTAGGGTGGCCAGGCCCTGGGGCCAGTTCCGTTCATGGGCATTTTCAATCAATTCATTGATGATGGATGTGGGGCAGCCACTTTCCACCAAGGAACGCTTGATTACAGCTTGGAGTACAGCATCTGGTGTAGAGATCATACCACCCCATCGGGTTACCCGGGCTGGCTGCAAGGAATTCACCCACCTAGGAGTCAAGTGAAAAGAGTCACACAATGAGGAAAGAAAAACAGATGAAACCATAGCACTACAATGAAAGCCTGGAGAGCAAGATTTCTTCTATTGTATTTCTGATGATGGTTCCCTGCCAAACAATCATGATGAGTAGCGTTCAGGTCTATTTGGACTACTCCCTGCACTAGGCACAAAGTGTTATTTCTAACATAAAAATTAACAACATCTAGGGAAGCAGAAAGCCACCATTTCCTCCAAATTTCATACAGTGATCTTGGAGATGTTTTGAAGGCTTATTTCCTTTATGGCAGCCAGGAAGAATTTGGGTTCATCCAAGCACTCCTGATCCTCTAGTAAACCTAGCCTGCATAGCCACTGATGAGGAAATTGACCTATTGGATCTCCTATTGAGCCTCATAAGTTGTGATCTCTCTAGATTTAGAACAATCATTTCTGTGGCTCTGCATTGTGTAGGATGATGCACCAGGACACATCCTGAAATTACAGCCTCTGAGGTTTACTCTTAAGGCTGTGACATTATGAATTCTTCTAGCATTGCTGCCAATTCTATTTGTCTTAATTTGTTTGGGAATATATTTTATCTGCATAATCACTTGCATACCACCCATTTCCAAGGACCCAGGGTGGTTTACACAATCAGGCCCTTTTTAAATGAGAACTGTGAAGCCTCAAAGCTTAATTATTGTAACAATGGGATACCAAAGAGATTCACTGTTAATCCAGACATGTTCTTTGGCACTGAGCAAGATCTCTACTCCTTTGACTATTTTTTAACATTTAAAATATTTGATTTTAATATTTTGAACATTTGTTCAGTATCTTTAGCATTCTTAACATTCTGTGTCTTCACCAGTTAGACCTTAGTCTATGTTCTCAGGTCTGTAGTTTTCAAGACAGTAAGAGATCAATGCTTCAAAAATAAAATCTGAACATGTCACCTTGACATTTGTAATTAATATTAAATCAGCCCAATTTATCTCCTGTTTATTATACTGATACAAGCAGCAACCATCTAATTAAGTGTTCAAGCTACTATAGTGGCTCAGGAAATGAAGAGAAAACATGTTACTTGTTTGCGATTCATGAATTCATTATCTCAACAAGTTATCAGCTCATTGAATATTTGGATTTGAAATCCATTTCACTTTATGTTTGAAAGCTACTATTATCCTGAGAAACAACTCCCACAACTGGAAAGAGATTATCTACTCTTAGTTAGCATGATGGGAGCTGAGGGTGGAGATTCGTTTTTCGAGCTTGTGGGTTGGTTTCCAAACATTTTGTTACCAGGCTGGGCAACATCTTCAGCGGAATTTAGGGGATGTCAGTGTCAGTGTTCTGCAGTCAGTAGGGTCTTGTGATATGAAGTCATATCAGGTGTGGGTTGTGTCAAATGAGGGTCTTGTGCTGGGTCTCGTGCTGGGTCAGGTGTGGGTCACAAGTGAGGGTCTTGTGATGGGGTCACATCAGGTGAGAGTCATTGGGAGGTGAAGTGCTGGTTGGGGGGGTTGTATGGGTTGGTTGAGTGTCAGTGCTGTCTCTGGTTGGCTGTGTGGTTGATTTGAATGCTGAGGGGTTCATAGGTTGGTAATAGGTTGATGTGTCTCTGTTGATGGAACTGCCTGTGGAGTGTCAGGCTTCAATGAACTCGTAAGCCTGGCGTGACCAATGATTCTTGTATTGCTCCAATCAAATTGGTGCTGTTTGGTGTCAGTATGGGCAGAGATTAGAGATTTGGGATCGTGGCATTTGGGAAGTATTATAGGCTCGAGTGTTTTCTGAGCTCGATTGTTTGCTTGCAGATGTTTCATCTTCATTCAGCATAATGAGAAGCATTACCTTGTTATGTTTGAACTACCATACTTTGTAGCATAATATGAATGTACCCCATAATTTTTCCTAGAGATGTTTGCTCCAATTTTCATTCATTTCCCACCACCATTCACTACTGCCTTTTCCCAAGTTTGAACCCCCACTATCACAACTCATCCAGTCCAGCACTAGTGAGAGATTAGTACTTACTCAAGGATTTCATTATATTCAATAGTCTCCTCCAAATTCTGCAGGTTGGGATTGACACTACGTATCGCTCGCATGTATGCTTTTAACAACTGTATGTCCCGTTTCTGCAAAAATTGATATTACATTAACATAACTAAAAGGACCCAGAGACCACCCTGCATCAATAGAAAAAAAATTCACAATATATATTGCACAGCTTAATTTACTATAGTAGTTATCATTCTAACATTTATTAATGCTCAAAGCTGTACACATTGACAGCAATGCAAATTCAAAGAGGAAAAGGAGATTTGAACTGAACTGGGTGTCCTATGACCCATCAGCAGCTCCTTGAACAAAGTTACCTCTTTTCCCACACTTGGATTTTGGGTCCAAGACACAGGTCGGCAACCTGCGGATCTGGAGCCACATGCAGCTCTTTGAACCTTCTCCTGCGGCTCCCAGCCTCTTCTGCCATTTGGAGGGGGGGGCACTTGCACTCCCTCCCCTCTCTCTCTCTCTCTCTCTCTCTCTCTCTCTCTCTCTCTCTCTCTCTCTCTGTGTGTGTGTGTGTGTGTGTGTGTGAGAGAGAGAGAGAGAGAGAGAGAGAGAGAGAGAGAGAGAGAGAGAGAGCGCAAAACAGAGTGGCCTCACTGTTCGAGGAGCTGACAAGCTTATTGGGCGGGGCTCCTGCCTTTGCTGCGTCTCTGCAGAAAGCAGTAAGCAGGAAGGGGAGGAGAGAGCCAGCCTGTTGCAGAACAGCTTGAAGCCAGCTTGCCAAGTGAGCAGAAGATCAGAGAGAGGGAGAGAGGGGGGGAGAGAGAAAGAGAGAAAGAGAAAGAGAGAGAGAGCAAAGAGAGGGTGAGAGAGGGTGAGAGAGAAGGAGAGAGAGGGAGGGGGGAGAGGAAAGAGAGAGAGTGAGAGGAAAGAGAGAGAGAAAGAGAGGGAGAGAAAGAGCAAAGAGAGGGAGAGAAAGAGAAAGAGGGGGGAGAGGAAAGAGAGAGAGAGAAGAGAAAGAGGGTGAGGAAAGAGTGAGAGAGGAAAGAGAAAGACAGAGAGAGAGAGAGAGGAAAGGAGAGAGAGAGAGGAGAGAGGAGAGGGGGGGAAGCGCAAGTGCCTCTCTCTCTCTCTCTCTCACACACACACACACACACACACACACACTGGGGGAAGAGGACTGGCAGACCAAGGGCAGAAAGAGAGAGAGGGGGAGGGAGAGAGAAAGAGAGGCAGGGAGAGAGACAGACAGACAGAGAGACCCTTTTGACATCTAAAATAAAGATAACACTGCATATATCCTTTTTTACATTTATTACACACACACACACACACCTATAATAAAGGTAAAAAAGGATATATGCAGTGTCATCTTCATTTTAGATATCAAAAAGGTTTTGCGGCTCCCAGTGTTTTGTTTTCAGTGGGAAACGGGTCCAAGTGGCTCTTTGAGAGTTTTGGGTTGCCTACCCCTGGTCCAGGAGAAGGCATATTTGATTCAAAAAGATCCAGACAGGTTCTATGTCACTTTCTCCCCACATATCAAATCATGTTTGAGTCCAGAATACTGCACAATGCTAATATGTGTATCCAAGGAATACAGGTAGTCCTCGACTTGCAACTATTTGTTTACTGATTATTTGAAGTTACAACAACACTAAAAAAGTGACTTACAACTGATCCTTACAATCATCGCAGTATTCCCATGGTCACGTGATCAAAATTTGGCAGCTGGCATGTATTTGTGACAGTTGCGGTGTCCTGGGGTCACGTGATTGCCATTTGTGATCTTCCCGGCAAAGTCAATGGCGTAAGCCCAATCACTTAACAACCACCTAGGTCAGGGATAGGCAACCTTGGCTCTTTTATGATTCGTCTGGAAGTTGAAGTCCACGAGTCATAAAAGAGCCAAGGTTTATCTACCCCTGACCTAGGTCACTTAACAACTGCAGTGATTTCCTTACCTGTGGCAAAAAAGTTGTAAAATTGGGTGCAGCTCATTGCTTAACAATGGAAATTCTATCTAAACTATGGCACAATTGTGGTTGTAAGTCAAGGATTATCTGTACACATAATCCTCAACTTACAACATTGTCTGGTGACCAAAGTCACAACAGCACTGAAAAGAAGTGACTTATAATTGGTTTTCACGCTTACAACCATTGCAGCATCCCTGTGATTAAGTGATCAAAATCCAGATGCTTGGCAACTGTCCCATATTGATGACCCAGTGTCCTGGGTTCATATAATCATCTTTTGCGACCTTCTGACAATGGGGAAGCCAGGTTCACCTAACAATCATTCTACTAACTTAACAACTGCAATGATTCGCTTAACAACGATGGCAAGAATTTAAAAAATGGCAAAATTTAATTTAACAACTATCTTGCTTAGCAGTGGAAATTTGGGGCCCAACTGTGATCCTAAGTCGCGGACTACCTGTATTTACAATTAGACACATTTTCACTTTGGTATAAGCTGTACAAAGAAACTTTCTAAAAATACAGCCACGTTCTCATCCGTCTTGTTTAGAAAAGGTAAGTGGATCCATAAACCATCTGGCCATTTGACAAAGGAAAGGAAATAAATACCTGCTCAGCTAATTGATGCTTGTGTTCTGCAGACGTCTTTTCCAATTCAGCTATTCTCGTCTGTTGCTGCTGCACTACTGACCGTAAATGTTTTATACAGTTGTGATTCGGCAATTCATCTTTGGGCATTTCCAAGCTGCACAGAGAAGTAACTACAATTGAGTGCCTAGAAAAAAAACTGTTTGGGTGATAAGCAACCAAGAACAGAGGTAAAAGGCTCTACTCTAAGAAAACTGAGCCTGACATTAAAGAGCCTCCCAAGTTATTAGCTGCCAATACTGTGCAATTTGGTTACACCTGATGCATCACAAAAGCCATTTTATACTGAGCTTTGACAAAACGGACCACACAATTATCGCTGCCCTCACTGGCATTTCCAGATCATGCTATCACACGTGATCTTTATTTATCATCAGACAAGCAGAGAACTATGTCACTGCTATGTCACGATCGGACCTACATAAATTTGGCAAATACTCACCCGCATCCCTGTTCACAGGTCACAGGCCGCTTTGGATTGTGTTCGCAGTCATTGAGGTGAGACATCAGGTTGTCGAGCCGCACTACAGCAGTGCAACCAAAAACAGCGTTGTCACAGGTGATTTGCAGCTTAGATAGCATATTACGCATGATCCGAGGAACAGGGCGCAGGTGAGCCACAGTCACAACACTTCGGTCGACAGGACACGTCTGCTGTTGGGAGAACCACTGGGTGATACAGGCATTGCAAAAAGCGTGCTCACAATGAGGCGCCTGTGTAAAGAACAGAACCAAGCATGCCACTTTAGATTACATCGAGTTTGCTGCTCAAGTTGATGTGGGCTCTTAGCTTTCCGTGCAGTTTCTTTCACTGAGTGCTTTTCACTAACAGAATTGGAAACAGGACAGAACATCCATCGATCAATTAATGTGACCAAGCAATCAGGGGCCATACGAAAACACCAGTTCATTCTGGTTGTAACTTACCAGATTCTAATGTAGTGAGAACCTATCAGGAAAAATATATAAAAACCACTCAGCATAATTATTCACCTGCAGGTGTTAATCTCTGTCCTTCACATCAACCCTATTACAGATTACCCTGTATTGTTCCAATTCTGGATTAGTATAAATAAATATGAGAAAAGTCACTTCCTTGTATAGTGCTCCAATATACTCTCAAAATAGAGAAAAATGATTTGATATGCACATCCCAAACATACATCCCCAAACAGATAGTACAAAGTCAAGCCTCTAAATATAGCACAGTTGTCATTCCAGCTCTTTTTCGAGTAAAATTTATTCACACATTAATATACTTCACAAGCTTAGTTCTTTGTCTCACAGCTCTACTTCCAAGTTGTTTGGAGGAAATGAAGATGATTAATTTCTTACAGAATGAATCAGTTTTCTATAGCTAGTCCTCAACTTACAACAGGTCACTAAATATTCAAAATTATGGCAGAGCCCACCAAAGGTATTTACAACCTGGACTTTACTTCTGGTTTTTTGAAATGCCCACGCGTAGCAAAAAATTGCTCTGGCGATCACTTTATGACCATCACAAAAACGAATGTACAAACAGGTCCAGTCTTGTGGTGACCTGCTTTACAACCATCACAACTTATCACAGTAAGGGGCAAGCTCCATTACAGATGCTAAGTTGAGAACCTGAAGTTCTCATACTACTTTCAGTTCTACAATAAGGTTCCTACGGTTTTTTCTTGGGCTGTCTCATATGCAGCATATGTCCCTACACATATGCTGCACGGAGCACTCCTTTGCTAAACTTATACCTTATGCTCCAAAGGAAGCTGCAGAAGAACCACCAGCTGAAAATCAGAAGACTACAAATTTAATAAAGTGACTCTACAATAACAATCTGTCCAAATGTCTGTTTTCCTTTAAAGAAAGAATGCAGCTATATAGCAAGACACTCATAAAACGTAATAATTACATTGGGGTAAGGACACTGTTTTATCACGGCTAAACTACAAATATTACAGAGCAATATTAACTCAAAGCAATATTCTTGTGATTTTAGTCTCCATGCAGTTTTTAGCAGATAAATTTTGACCTGGAACTGCACAGCCGCATTGTTCCCTTTGAGTCTCAACTTCAATCTTCTCTCAAGCACGTGAGCTATCCTTTTTGATAACAGTTATGTAAAGTTGCAACGCCCATCATCCTCAACTGGCTGAATCTGCTTGAAATAATAGTCTGATATATTAACAGGGTTTGATGGAGGAACCTGGTATAAACAATCCTGAGACAGACAGACCAGCGAAATCAACGGTGCAAAAGAAATCTAATAGGATAGTTAAGACATAATTCTGGGATCGAGCAAAACCAAGTCCAATTCAAGAAGCTCACTGGTAAGACTGAGATAATCCCCGTTTTCAGTCCAACCTGCCTCTCAGTGTGGTTGCTAGGAGGAAGAGCTCATATAGGACATATAAAAGCAGCATCGGGTTTCATAATATGATGAAGAAAAGAAAGCAGCATCCTGTGTTTCCATGAACAGGAGAAAATTCTACTGAACTCTTCGTGCAATTCATACAATGAAGAACAAATGTTAAAAATGTCCTAAGCATAACTGGGTTAAATGACCAGAATATTTTCAGAATATTTTTTTTTAGCTGTGAAATTCTGCCTAACCCACTAACATGCTTAATACTTGCTAAATGAAGTATTGGGATGCTGTCATCTACTAATTCTATCAAATTACATTCTTATACTTGCACTATGTAGGTCTTGAATTATGGCTTCACAGTTCATTTTACAGCACTGTCATAAAAACTACCCCTTAGCAAAAAAAAAGAAAGAAAAGATAAGTAAATAACGATACAGAAAGCATCATAAGATAGTAAAAAGAGTCGGATCAAGTTTACAGTATAAAAAAACACATTCTTTTACATAGTTTTTATCTTTTTAAGATTGTAAATCGTCCAGAGTTACCTTATGGTAAGATGAGTGGCCAATACATTTTACAAATAAATAATAAATATTTACATTTAAGTCCCCTTTGCAGGAAGAATTTATTAATAATTCATGAACACAAATGCTCCCTATAATAGCTAGCAATGATTGGACCTCAGCCATTTAATTATTTTTAAATCACCATGTGAGATACAGATTTTTTTTACTTCAGCAGAGCAAAATTAATGTAGTTATTAAAAACTATTTACATTTATGACTTCATTATTTGGCAGCCAATTGTTTATCTTGCATATTAAGGAAAAAGATGCTTCATATGGCATTAAGCTGATGATAGCCAGAAGCGAAGATTAATATATACCATATTTTACAGCGTATAAGACGACTTTCTAAACCATGAAAATCTTCTCAAAAGTCGGGGGTCATCTTATACGCCCAGTCGTCTTATATGCTGGAAAATACGGTACTTACAACCCCCGACAGGAATTCCACATTGCTCATGAATTATGCTGATATATTCAAGTCTATGCTTATGGTAATGGAAATTTTTGTTGTGTCACACTTGATCTTAGCCAAAAGGCCAAGAAGCCAAAACTGTCTCATACCACTCAGTATATTCTTTCCATTAACCTTACAGCACAAGTATTGAATGAACAGATTTTGAAGAATAGGTTAGACTGCATAATACTGCAATAACCAAGGCATTATCTAAAAAAAAATATTTTCACTCATTAATGGAAAATGATCCTAAAGATGCAGTTGAGTTTTCAGCTGCTACAAGAATGAAGTACCCTGCCCTTCAGTGCAAATCACTATGACTTCTACTTTCTTATAAAAATGAGAATAAAGGGTATAAAAATTCAGAAGGAAGGTTGTCCCTTAATGATGATCTGAAAATAGGCCTTATACAGATCAAGCTAGATTTGTGTTCTTCGCAAGTAATGAGAAACTGCTTACTCACAAGTAAACAAACCCCTTTTATTAAACCAGGCAGGAACAATCTTTGTTCATTGGGTAGCCCCAAAGGAAAGTCTTTTCCCCTTCTGAAACAGGGCAAGAAGCGTCTCTGTTCACATAAGAACTCCAGATAACAAGTCTTTCAATGATTAAGGAAGCAGAAACAGTCCCTGTTCACACCAGCTGAGGCAAATTCACTGTCTATTAGTTCCCAGAGGGAGATTCAGTTGGCACCTCAAATATAGAGCAAGTCATCCCGACAAACCTGGGTCTTGGCAAAGGAATCTGACTTGATCGATGTATCCTGGAAAACAAATGGTTATCTACAACAACAGGCCACTCCCAAACCCCTACTACTTATTTCCCAGCCAGGGAGGGGCTGGCTAATGTCTACTTCTTCTTTTCTCTGAGAGCCGGCTTATTGCCTTCCATTGCTCTCCTCTCTACGCATCTGGAACGGGCCCTATCTGTTACTCCCCCTCACTCTGCCTCTCTGCCTGGCCCCGGCTCTGCATCTGATTCTGCTTCCTCATCAGAGCCTTCCAAAGGCTTTGAAGTTGACCCAGGCTCCCCCTCCATCTCTTCCGCCTCCTCATCTGACTCTGCTGCTAGCTCTGCAGGCAGCCGACAGACCACATCGCCATATTTGGTTTTCATAATATATCGAAATATTTAAAAATTACTTTTTAAAACTGATACTAGCTTAACACCCAATTTTAAAAACAATTACCAATTATGTAATAGAGGTTTATTTCTATAGTATTTATTATGCTCCTACACTCTATTTCATCCTGTACTTTGCACTATGTTTGTTAAAGCTAGTTCAATCAGTTACACAGATTCAACATGTAGAAATCCACTTGATTGTGGGATAAAATCTCCATGAAAAATACTCAAACACAATCAAGACCTTTGTGCACTGAGCATTCTTGATACTAAACAGAATATTTACACCAATATCAAATGCGAGTCTGAAAGATATTAACATATTTATCCATGGAAGAGACTGTCTACTTGAGGGCTTTCTGCCTGAGCACCATTTTGGTTCTCACCTCTTTGCAGCCAACTTCTATTGGAGAGAGATCTGCCCACGTCTGCAGATGTCACCAGAGCATTTAAGGATGTTCAATGAAAAAATGCAAATAGATCTGTTCTGCAGGGAAGGGTCCTTGGTGCAGCTTTGAAAAAGTCATTTTGTTTTAGCTTGCCTTCCACTAAGAGACCCCCAAAATAAGTAATTTTAGACAGATATGCAATGTAGATAATTGCTATTTAGCCTCACTCTAAAACCGGGATGGGTAACCTGTAGTTCATTGATGGCGAACCTTTTAGAGACCGAGTGCCCAAAAAACTGGCCCCGCCCCTGCTTCATCCCCTGCCCCGCCCCTGCCCCCCATCCCCTGCCCCGCCTGCCCACAGGGCCACTCACCGCCTCCAGGGCCCGCCACAGATCACCCAGGCAGCCCAGCAGCGCTATTGGCGATCACACCCTCTGCCCACGCCCTGCAGCATCAACTGTGCACGAGGAGTGTGAGGGCAGAGTTTTGTCGACGCTGCCTGGCTGCCACGTCCTTGGCTGCACTGCTCCGTGTGGGCCACGTTCAGGGGCAACTCTCCTTCAGGGGGGCTGCTGCAGAGGAGGGAGTCACAGGGGGAGGCAAGGCTGGGGCAACAGCATGTGTGCCCACAGAGAGGGCTCCGAGTGCCACCTCTGGCACCCGTGCCATAGGTTCGCCACCACTGCTGTAACTCATTGGCTATATGTAGCCTCCAGATCATTGTTATGGAGTTACGGTCTTCTGCTCCCACTTTCAAAATTTGGCTATAACTTCTACAAAATTTAGTAGTGTAATTGTCCAGGTGTAAAAAAAAAAAAGCAAGCAAAATAAGCTTAATGCTTTTATTTTGGGACACAACACGAACAAGAGACCAACATTTTCATCCCTACCTCTTCCAAAAAGCCACATAAGAGCACATTTCTTGGCCAATTCTTTCTCATGCAGAAGTTATATAAGGAGAGCAAGTGGGGTAAGGAATAGTAGTCCCTGCCAGTTCCTGTGCAAAAATAAATTCACCTTCCAGGAATTTTAGCTCTCCTAAAACATGGAGTGATAAATATCAATACAGTCTGTTGTTCAAGTACAGGTAGTCCTCAACTTACAACAGTTCGCTTAGTGACCACTCAAAATTACTACGGCATTGAAAAAAGTTACTTATGACCATTTTTCACACTTATGACCGTTGCAGCATCCCCATGGTCATGTGATCAAAATTCAGATGCCTGGCAACTGACTCACATTTATGACGGTTGCAATGTCCTGAGGTGACGTGATCCCCTTTTGCAACCTTCTATGACAAGCGAAGTCAATGGGGAAGCCAGATTCACTTAACAATCGTGTTACTAACTTAACACCTGCAGTGATTCATCTAACTGTGGCAAGAAAGGTCATAAAACGGGGCAAAATTCACTTAACAACTATTTCATTTAGCAACATAAATTTTGGGCTCAATTGTGGTTGTAATTCCAGGACTACCTGTACAGTATTTATAAGGTCACTGTATTTTGGTTGAATTAATGTTAAGGTTGAATACTGCAGCCACAGAATGATCATATTCACACGGCGTAGTAACGCACAAAGCTTGGTTAGCGTTAAGTATGCCTACAAACACTTTTTCTAGGGCACCACAGCTATCAAACCACCTGTCTGTAGTTTGCTTGCTGTTAAATTATTGTGCTAATAATAGAGATGCAGCTATGGATAGAAGTGCTGTACATCCTGTTTTTAGACAAGTTGCTTAATGTAAACAAACAATATATGAGTGTTTCTATAGCTGTACTATGTGAAAGAGTGGGGGAGGAGGAGTTGGCAAGTTTATTCACATTCACGAAGCCTTACAAATGACTGTATATGTGGTCGTAGTTCTGCCAACAAATGACATTTTTAAACTCGCAAAGCAAGCAAGCTATTCAAAACCATTTAGCTAAATCCATATTTTCAAAAAAACCTTGCCCCCCATCCCCCCAAAAATGAAGAAATAAATCCCTACATTATTGATAAAAAACAGTACTATGCTATATAGCAGGAGTCCCAACCCCCAGTCCGTGAACCAGTACCAGGGCGCGGCACGCCAGCAACTGGTCTACACAAACGAGCAAAGCCCCATCCGTGAGATGCAGGCAGCACATAAAACCATGTCACCTCCGGTCTGTGGAAAAACATCTCTCCACGGAACTGGTCCCTGGTGCCCAAAAGGTTGGGGACCTCTGCTATATAGTAAAAAAAAAAGGTAAAAGTTTCTGCTTTCCAGTGATGACTGACTCTAGGGCATGGTGCTCATCTCCGTTTCTCGGCCGAGGGGGCCAGCATTATTCAAAGGTCATGTGGACAACATGGCTATATGCCAAAGGCGCACGGAACACTATTACCTTCCCCACTGAAGTGGCACCTATTAATCTACTCACATTTGCATGCTTTCAAACTGCTAGGTGGGCAGGAACAGGCCAAGGAACAGGAGTTCACCCCGTTGCACAGTCCTCAAATCTCAAACCTGAGTGGTCACCTTTTCAGCTGACAAACTTAGCATCTTTAACTGCAGTACTTAAGGTTAAACCATTTATCATGGTTGCATGTCGCAAATACATATGTATTTTCCATCTATTCTAGAAATAACCTGGGAGACTTCCCTTGTTTTCTGAAGGGATGTGCAGAGTGGAAAAACTACAGTCAAATCACAAAGTCACTCTATACAAAAAGGCTTGCTCTTTAATCCTTTTAGATCAATTACTATTAACCATTTCATACAAATTAAGTCTTGCAAAATCACATGCTTTTACATTCCAATGGGAGTGATTTAGAAATTGCTTTAAATAACTATTTTATTTCTGGACCTCTAAACATAATACAATGCACTTGACAGGAAGGAAAGTTGCCTCTTGCAGACACAAAAAACAAATGGACATATAGAAAGACAGTTTTATTCAAATTTGCCCAAAAGGAAAGCGATATTAAATTTAAGACATGCACCTTAAGCATAACACATAACCCCATTGTTTGCATCTGTTATTCTCTTCTCAGCAAACTAAATATAACTTTCTTATTGTAAAGGCAAATTAACGAGAAAAACAGTTAAGGCAAGCTTTCCAAAACAGCAAATTCTGTACTGCTTTTCTGTATGGATAGTCGTACCTCAACTTAGAATATGTATTTTTATGAAGGCAGCGGTAAATAGAAACACCTATAAGATTAACTGTTACTTTGCAATATCGTGATAAATTCTTAACATCTTCTTGACCCAGAAAGTTTTATTAGCTTTTTTTGTGTGTATGCTTTTGAATCACTATTGACTCTTGGTGACTGCCTGGATGAGCTCTCATATTTCTTTGCTATAGGTTGAAAATTGTTATTACAGCATTGTATGAATCAACTAAAGCTTATACAGAGGATTACATAATTATGACTTATTTTTGTATAATATCCACAACTTTAATACTTTACATATACACTTATGAACTTATATCAAAACTTTTCAAGAGTAAATAAATATTTTCTCTCTCCCTTATATTAACTTAGCTTTACGTTTTGCTTTGGAAAACTAGTGCTGATAAACTAAATAAGCTTGGCAATGATTAGCAAATTGTGCTGTAATTTTCAAAAAGAAAAATTATTTTTCTGAACAAAAAGTTTAAACCTGGACACTTGGCTGAAGCAGTTGAACCGAAATAGAAGATAATAATTTAAGAGTGTTTAAATTAACATTTAACTACAATATATTTATCATTACATTCATATTCTAGCTTTAATCCAGAAGCTCAAGCAGCATACAAGTGCACCCACCTCCTATTCCCCCTAAAGCCAACAGCTTGTGGGAATAGATTGGGCAGAGAGAGTAACTAGCTCAAAGCTCCACTGTGTGTTTCAATGGCTAAGAGTGGACTACAACTTGGGATGTACCCATTACTGCCGCAACACCTTAATCACCAGACTGTGCTATGTTCCTCTATATGAGTTAGAAGGACTTAATACACAATAGCTACATAAAACCTGTATGCAAAATACATATCTTTACCACCTACCTGCACTGGCTCCTCCAAAACCCCACTACAGATGGGGCAAATAAGATCTTCATCAACATCCCCTTGAAAACGTGCTACATCATACCCCATTTCTCGTCACCGATGCCAAAACACTAGGAAAAAAAAAGCAGGAGGAAGAAAAATTATGCATTTGAATGTTCATGATAAGAAGCTCTAATCATGTATTTCAATATGTTATTTGGGTGGAATCAGTTAGAAATCCTTCGTCTAACCAGGTTGCCTGCTCACTAACCTGATATGGCTGCATGCTAAGCCACAGATTCAAAGAGAAGCTTCAAGCCTCTAAGGAACAGGATGTGGCACAACAGAGAAAGAACAACTTGATGCAGCCCCATTTCTCTAGGATTAATTTTCCAGTTTCACTAGGCCAGGAGTAGGCAACCTTGGCTCTTTTATAACTCGTGGACTTCAACTCCCAGAATTCCTGGGAGCTATTCCTGGGAGTTGCAGTCCACGAGTCATAAAAGAGCCAAGGTTGCCTATCCCTGTACTATTACTACCAGATTAGATACCTCACACTATGTTATTATTCACTTCTTCGCTTGCATTTTTATATACAATAGTCCTTGATTTACATTCATTTAGTGACCGTTCAAAGTTAAAACAGTACTGGAAAAAACTGGCTTATGACCATTTTTCACTTATGATTACCGTAGTATCGTCATGGTCACATATCAAAATTCAGGCGCTTGCCAACTGGCATGTATTTATGACAGCCTGAAGTCATACAATCACCTTTTGTGACCTTCTGACAAACAAAGCCAATAGGGAAGCCAGATTCACTTAACAACCGCGTTGCTAACTTAACAACTGCAGTGATTCCCTTTAACTGTGGCAAGAAAAGCCATAAAATGGGGCAAAACTCACTTAACAACTGTCTTGCTTAGCAATGGAAATTCTGGGTTCAATTGTGAACATAAGTCGAGGACTATCTATATTCCACACTCTTCTATTTCAGCAGGAACCAGAATATACAGGTATCTAGTCCCTAACTTTAGAGCAGTGGTTCTCAACCTGTGGGTCGGGACCCCATTTGGGGTCGAACGACCATTTCACGGGGGTCGCCAAACAAGGCTGTCCGCCATTTTTTCCCCCTTTTCTTTGGCCACGCCCCTGGCACCCGGTGATGTATAAGTGGTTGGGGGTCACCACAACATGGGGAACTGTATTATGGGGTCGCGGCATTAGAAAGGTTGAGAACCACTGCTTTAGAGCAAATGACAGTATAACTACTGAAGGGGGGGGGAGTTCTGGAAATCTGAAACTGTACATTTAATGGTGGATCAAGGTATTTCTTGCTATCACCTTGTTGAAAAAAAGAATTAAATCAAGCCACTTCTAATGTCAGAGTGAAATATACATCTTTGCTCAGGCGACACTACTCCTCAAGTGTATACACAGTATAAATCTTTCCCCTGAATGCTATTCAGAAGAGTTTTTGAGAGTACATTAAAAGTAGACTTTGCTTATTCTCTTAGGACTAACTTGGCGCAACTATCTGCAGACATTTTTTTATTAGTAGTTGGGACATTTTTGAATAGCTTGGGATGATTCATTTAATCCTTTTTTTCCCTAACATCTCAGCAGGATTTATCTTTCTCTGTTCAGTCACCTCTTCCCTTCATCTATGCTGTCCTCCTTCCCTTTCTCTTTCCTTCCTTTCCCAGTGTTCACCATTCTGCCTTTTTCCCTTCTTTTTTCTATGTCTGCTAGGAGAACGTGCATTTATTTGCATGTGCATGATTAGTGTGAGTAAGGAAATTGTTAGTATCTGCAGACATAGAATCAATTCAGTTTATAAAAGGGGTACTTTTCACTTCAGCAATACTGACAGACAATCCTGCAGAAATGGGAGCCATGAGATCACAAAGTAGCAAAACTCAATAGCGGAACTATATATGTATATGTATATGTATATATATCGATTTATAACTATTTTTAATCTATTATTCTGGCCCTGTCCTTTTGAGAAATGTGGCTTCTGGTAAATATATATATACATGTTTGTGGGGGAAGAGAAATTTTCAGGATTCCTCTCAGGTGACACAGGCAACCCCACATATTGTCAAGTCTGGGAAGATAGATATTGCATAATAATTTTTTCCTTTTTCAGTCTTCTTTTTTGTTTGTATGAACGTCATCTTAAATCCTTCTACCTTCCTCTTGGACAAAAAAGTTACTCATCAATATTTGGGACACTTTTCACAAGTTACTTTATATAACAAAAAAGTTAATGTTGAAAAAAAATCAGTTTGAATGGGCAATAGAGAAAAAGACATGTACAATCAGCAACGCCACTGAGCTCTAGAATATACAAATCATAGTCAGTCCATTCTGTCTAGAACAATCTGTTTAAATAGAGGACAGCAGCCATTCAAATTATTCACTACTCACAAGTTTTGCAAAGAACATCTAGATCGGGGTAGGCAACCTTGGCTCTTTGATGACTCGTGGACTTCAACTCCATGCTGGCTTGGAGTTGAATTCTGGGAGTTGAAGTCCACAAGTCATAAAAGAGCCAAGGTTGCCTACCCCTGATTTGAAAGGAAAAGGACACTTGTGGATTTTTTACTGAACTGCAAACCTATATCAATACCAAATCTCAATTTAAAAATGTTCCGATATTAACTATTAGAACTGCCAGGCTGTGCTTGTGTCCTGCCACCCACCGGCATATCCTCCTATACTCCTGCCCAGCCATGCTTGTGTTACAGCAGCCACTTACCTATCTACTAGCCTGCTTGCAAGCCACCCAGGATTTGCAACTTCCTGCCAGCATCCCCACTGATTTTGCTTGTTGGAAGCCAGAAGGAAATTGCAATGAGATCCTTGCTTAATGACGGTAACCAGAGACTGCTGGAATTGCTGTCACTAAATGAATATCTCATTTTACAACTGCATTGCTTAACGATGGGAAAACTAGTCCAAATTACCATTGTTCAGAAAGGAGTATCTGTCATCTTGCAGAAAATGCAACTGCCCTGATGTTTCAAAGAGAGGACTTTCGTTCATACTAGTACACATTCTTTATTTAAATATGCTAAATATATAATTTAGTAGAGATTTTTAAGTGAACAAAAGTTAAACATGAAATAATACAGAAATGAAATTAAGAAAGAAATAAGAGAAAAAATGCAGAAATTTTTAAAAAAGAAAAATATATTTAAAGAAGTAACTTCCGATCTTTATTACAGCAGTTATAAACAAGTTTCGTATCACTCTATCCCCTTTAAGATCGCATTACTTAGTTCACTTCTTGCCATATTCAATTACCCTTTTCAATTGCCAAATCCAGAAATCATCAACTTAGTCTTGTCCATTTTCAACAAAAAGTCCATAAAGGATTCCAGTACTTTATAAAAGTACTTATTGTCTTACTCCTGATCAAGCAGGGCAATTTTATATTATTTTCTTTTACATAGTACTTGATCCAAATTATTTAAACTTTAGCTTAGTGTTGTCTTGTATTCTTCCTGACAAAATGCACAAGTACATTCCTTAATACATTTTTTAACTTTTCGGGGTTTTTTTGTGTTAATTCTGTACAGCTTATATCCACTTCCACTTCCATTGATGGCCAGTTCTTCCCATTCTAAAAATATTTTTAGAGTTTCAACAATCCTCTCCTCACTATTTTCACTAAGTTGTCCTGTAGCTGTTCTTCATTCTCTTTTAAATTTAGTAATATCACATTTTCGAAATGTGTTCTTGTTTCTTGGCTTATTGTTTCTGCTTCATTCATTTTTTTACTGCAGGCTCTTCAAATTTTTTATTCATCTTTTCTGCTGCTGTATTTGATATACCCAAGGACCAAAAATTATTCAAAATTTAATAATAACCATAAATAACTGTCAACTTATTCTGCATGCAAAACAAAATAAACTTGGCGAAGGTCTTATAAAGTGATTTGGTAAGATATAAGAGAGTTCTGAAGGCTTTTTAGTGTAATTAGCCAGATAGTGGAAACATACACGGAAACTATACATGAAAGGCCTTTAACCCTAAAACGTATTTTCACACTGTTTTTAAATTAAAATTAAGGGAAACACTAAATCCTCTTCACTGCAGAAGAATGACATACTCTGATCTCGAAGCAATGTTTGCAAATCTTTAGTTCAATGTGTAATCAAAGTTACTTAGTAACCTCTCCATACTTAAGTAATTAGGTAACTTTATTATGGCTCTAGAGGAAAACCAAAATAGACAATATGCCACAAACATTGCAAAGTAATTTAAATAACCACAAAGAGGATCAGCAAGAAAACATGACATGTCAATTTAGAGACTGTTCACTGGAGTTGGGTGGCCAATAAATTTAAATAAATTAAATTTTGAGAATTACAGCTGGAGGATTTCAAATACTTTATATTTCAAGATATTGATGGATTTTATATTGAAATGCATTCCTAAGAGTTATTTTAGTAATATAAATTGGCAAAACAATTCTAGATCTCCATATCCAAACTGACTTTCCAATTCTAATTTATAACCATCTGCAACAATCTTCATACACCAAATTAAAAAATTAAATTTTACAGAATTACTCTTTTACATAAAATCAGTTTCTTGGCCTCAAAATAGGGAAAAAATGTTCTCCCCCACCCACAACTTGACATTTTAAGCTATTTTACTAGTTTTATGAGTAACACAAATTCACTATCTGATATCTTTTTTCAGATATCAAATTACATCATGTGGTTGTAATTGGCTGACTTAACAAAAAGCTAGTACAGCTGGGTAAAGCTTTTTAACCAGCTCAGCAACAAGATGGAAACGGATTAAAACTGCAGGCTACTCCTTTCAATACAGTGCAGGGATCTTTTAATCATCTATTTGAAACGTTCTATACTTTACAAAACAACATTAATTTCAATTGCTTACTCTGCCTTTAGATGCATAATGCAATATTATAATTGCATATAGAGTATGTTATTACTACTTCGAGTTACTATTTGCAAGTTACAAATATGATTAATCAAATAAAATAATCATTATATAAATAAAATTACTTTGAAAATTAATGTCCATATTTTAATCTATATATTTATATTCAGCCTGGTGTAGTCCACTAAAACTGCCCTTCAAAAGTACTCTGGACAATATAGCAATCTCTAATTCACTCTACCATCTGGCAACTAACAATTTAGCAATTGTGATTATTCAAAATTAGCATTTCTATTTCTCATTGTGTGGTTGTCAGATTTAAGAACTGAACAGCAGAAAAATATATAATAGTTGATCAACACAATGAAATAAACCACATTTACACATCGTTCAGAAGAAATAAAAAGCTAAAAAGAAAACAAAAAGACCCTAAGATATCCTCTACAGCAGTGGTTCTCAACCTTTTTAATGCCACGACCCCCAACCGGTCGTAAGTCAAGGACTACCCAACCGGTCGTAAGTTGAGGACTACCCAACTGGTCGTAAGTCGAGGACTACCCAACCGGTCGTAAGTCAAGGACTTTCCCTGCCTGGGAGCGCCACGCATGCGTGGTGCCATCCCCTGCACCGGCCGAGGCGTAGCTGGCAAGGGGCAGCGACGGCGCAGGACGACCACCGGCTGGGCCACCAGCTGGGCCAGCCCAAGGGAGGTAAGGCACCTGCCGGGCCCCACGTGCCCAGCAACCCTCCCTGTGCCCACCGGCCTCCCACCTCCCACCCCTGGCCCTCTTTTACTTACATTTTTAGTAGTTGCTCAGCAGGGAGGGGTGGAAACTTCCAGACAGCTCGCCTTCGCTGCAGATAACTTGCAGCACTATTTGCAGAATGGGACTTTTGGCGGGCTCAGCAGGGCAGAGACAGCCTGCACAATTCCTATTGGCTTTTGAAAGCCAATAGAATTAGACTCTATTCAAGAGAGCCTATTCTATTGGCTTTCAAAAGCCAATAGAATAAAAGGGAGTAGCACAGCTAAGGAAAAGGGGAAAAAATGGCGGACTGCGTTGTTTGGCAACCCCCATGAAATGGTCGTTCGACCCCAAATGGGGTCGCGACCCATAGGTTGAGAACCGCTGCTCTACAGTAACCAATACCCAGATAAACAGGGATTAACACCAGACAATCAATCAAGCAAAAGACAATACCCTAATCAAGGAACTACCAAGGAGAAAACCACACCCCCACCAACACTGGCAGGGCAAGCTGCTATTTATAAATAAGGAGCAAACCCCACACTCACCAGCACTGATAATGTTACCTAATTGGGTAATGAAACATCTGCAAGCAAACAACCAAGCTCCGAGAGCATCACAGTTCAACCTTAAGCTACATACCGTACAATTCTCTTCTATTGCGAGTTCAGTTCCTAGCAGCTTCATAGTAATGTCTACATACTGTAATTTTCTTGCCAGCAAAAAGACAATAGTTTTTCATTTGCTTTCTTCTGGAATTTTTTAAATTCAGTATTAGGCTAGCTAGAGAGATAATATTCTTTGGAAATTTATGTAACTAGATCCAAGCTTGAATAACATCTGAGCCTAAATAAGAGTAGCTAAGCGTGGATATCTGCTGAGACTTAGCACCCACTTTTCCAGGATACAAAATGAATCTGTTCAGTTAAACACCGGACTTCAACAGAAAATGAGATACACCTATAAAAGCAATTGGTGCATTGACTTCTGAAAGAAACAATTATTTTACCTTCTGTAGCAGAATTTCTTCCTGAATAGCCACAAGACAATGCTGATGTTGCGTTGCTCTTCTGAATTGAACTTTCACCATGGCCCATTTTTCTCTCGCTTCTTACTCAGATTAAGTCATCATTTATCTTAGCAGCCAGACTCTGTGGTCATAAGAGGATAAATAATTTCAGTCTTAACAAAAAGTTAAAAATACAAATTTATACCAGTATGGCATGACGTGTGAATGCCCTACTATTTTTAGCAACAGCAGAGCAGTACAGTACACAAAATTATGTACATTCTTTTCATAATTTGCTCTGTACACAGAATGCAAGAATTAATATTCAGCTCATTTCCACACCCTTAGGCAAAGCATATTATTTGCAACATATTATGTCTGACTTATTTGAAACATTTCACAACAGCGTATGTTTTTAGCCTTCTCTGACACTTAATTTTCCCAATTCTAAGTGTTTACAGCGAGAAGATGCTTCATGTTTAGCTTTGCTCAGAACATACCATAAAAACAATACTTGTTTGGTGCTTTTTTAGTGGCAATAGCTAACAGCAAGAAGATTAAAAATGATCAAAAAAAGTATTCAGTATTCACGAGTTTTCAATTCATAATGTTCTGCTTCAAATACTAATAATGCCTCATTTCATATCAGCAGATATTTTACCCATTTTATTTATTTATTTATTTATGAGACTTATATACCGCTTTAAGTGCAAGCACTCTCTAAGCGGTGTACACCAGTAAGCAATGTATATATATATATATATTTACATTGCCCCCAACAATCTGGGTCCTCATTTTACCTACGCCGGAAGGATGGAAGGCTGAGTCAACCTTGATTTAAATAATCATCTACCATTTTTACCAAAAATTGAAATCACACATAAGAGCTTTTATTTTTAGGTGAAACCCACAATGCCATTCTTGGGTCCAGTTACCCAGAAGGTTCAGAACCTAAGACTAAGTACAGATGCTGGCATAAGAAAATCCCTTATAATTTTTCCCTAGAAATCTAGTATCCCACCATCCTGGGAACACCTAAGATCAGATGCATCACGCAACACATGAAGGAGCCTACAGATTCTATTATGATCAAATGTGCAAATACAAATGTACACAATACTGTACAAAGGAGCAGCAAAGAAACAAGAAAGGGCTTTAAGAGCTGAGAGTTAAACAACAGTTCTTCACCCCTTTCACACTGTAAGGCACTGCAAGCAGAGACTTGCATCACCCCAGTCACAGGCAGGAATTAGATCAGTCAGCCTATCATTTTGAAGACAGTACCAAAAATAGTTTAATTTTTAGAACAGAGATGTTCAGCATATATATCAGGCTACTTCTTACTTCCAGATTTTTATCAAAGTTGTGTCACAATCCCTGTTTATTATATGGGATCATAATAGTTCTGATCAAGCCAAGAGAACGATACATAACCAGAACATTATTATTTGAAATATGATCTTGTTTCTTTGGTTTGGAAAATAGCCTGGGTCTAAAACACATTCCCTTGCTTGTAAACTGCACAACTGAACAAAAGCAGCAACAACCTGCTTTACTCTCATAAACAAGATTTGTTCTCTATTAACATATGCTCCTAAAACGAAGTATGAACAAGCCTTGAAATTTTAGAGCAAATGCTCTCCAGGTTAACTGCTACATTTTACCAGAGTTGTTACCCATCTTAAGCAAGGATTTGTTGTTACTGTACAAGATTCTTCCTCAGATGTTGTTTCATCAAAAAAAGCTCTTAAATACTTTTTTGCCATTGCACTGTTTCAGTTCACCACACATGTCCAAGCATTATTCCTTCACCTGCTCCTGAAGCTAATTTTCCAAACCACCCCCACTGCATAGTTATTCAATAGAAATTTGACCTCCAGAACCTTAGAATGGAAGGGAAACAGAAACACCTCCCAAGAATACACAATTCCCATAACATAATTTATTTGGATTCCTCAAGGTGGCTATTGAATTACTCCCACAAAAGATAGGCTTCAATTTCTCTCTTGATTTTCAGCCTTTAATCAAACTTGCTCTTCTTCACTTGACTATAATTCCCTCAATATCATCAAAGTTCATTACAAAGCCATCTTAACAATTGAACATCCCTAATACCTTTTCTCTCATAAATGTGTTACTGTACCACCCCCAAGCCTACACCATCCAAAGATCAAATCAGTATAATGCTGGTTTTTTTTTTTATTAGTATGTTCATTCAAATCCGGATCTTGAATTTACACATATTTATGAAAAAAAATTTAAACTTTTAAACTGTAAAAGTTTTTTGTTGACTCTAATTTCCTAGGTCATCTGGATCTCGGATGCAGTATCAATTTAAGGATGATCCTCTCTGTCAGCGTATGGACATAGATGGAAACTTGTTTCTCTTTTTTTCCCAATCTATTCCATTTTTCCAAACCTAATCAGTTTCCTTCCTAAAAACCTGCAACCATGAATCATCAATAAGAAAACACCATGATTAACTTAACACAAATCTGATTATTAAACTGGGATTGGCTTCAATGTGTTGGATTGTTTGCAAAAACATTTCAATCATCAAGTCTATCTTTTCCCCCAAAACACTGCTAATCTCTCTCATTAGTAATGATTTCATTCTATGTAGGTTGTTTTGTCCTTTTATTAAATACTCTAATCCAGTGGTTCTCAACCTGTGGGTCGGGACCCCATTTGGGGTCGAACGACTATTTCACGGGGGTCGCCAAACAAGGCTGTCCGCCATTTTTCCCCCCTTTTCTTTGGCCATACCCCTGGCAACCTGTGATGTATAAGTGGTTGGGGGTCACCACAACATGGGGAACTGTATTATGGGGTCGCGGCATTAGAAAGGTTGAGAACCACTGCTCTAATCTCTTTGGAGGTCACTCTGTTAAAAAATAAAAAAGCAGCGTTTAAACTGAAAATTGTAGAATTGTACAGTCATATATACCCACATAATTATTACATCACATTATTCCCTTTCTGGATAAGCAACACTATTCAAAGCATAGAGAAATAATAAGAAAATCTAACTCAAAGAAATTAAGGTGTGACATAACAAAAAGAGAAGAAAATATAATTAAAATTAATTACACCAGCATCATTCATTATATCTCAGTGATGGCGAACCTTTTAGAGACCGAGTGCCCAAACTGCAACCCAAAACCCACTTATGCATCGTCGGGCGCCAGGTGGGTGTGGCCCATTGGGGGTGTGTGGCCCATTGGGTGGGCATGGCTGCAGTGGTAATGGCAGACTGGGTGGGACTAAAAAATTAAAATCAATCAATTCCAACTTTGCAAGGTCTTTTTTTCCTGTGATAAGTTGAAATTCACTGAAAAGCTTTTATAAAACCCAGCTGAAAGCCTAGGACTGGGGCGACGGTGCGTGTGCCCACAGAGAGGGCTCTGAGTGCCACCTCTGGCACCCGTGCCATAGGTTCGCCACCACTGTTATATCTCTTGATATCTTTCTATCCTCAAATCACTCATTTCTATAACATTCATATGCTATCTCATATTCATTTCTTTTGTTTTTTTTTAAAGTATTCTCTTTGGGGGGGGGGGGATTTTATAAAGTCCATGCAACATCTGATCCACATACCTCTTGCTTAGGACAGTCACACTGCACTCTCCAAATTTTGCTCATTATCAGTTTCAAACACCTTCCCAGGTTCACCTGGTAAAGTAATTTTCTTGTAGTTTTTGCAGTTCTTCTAATCCTTCCCTACCAATAGTCCTCAACTTATGACCAGTTGCTTAGCAATTGTTTGAAGTTATGACTCCCTCAAAAAAGATACTTATGACCTGCATTTTGGCTCTTAGCAACCAGCCAACATTTACAGCTGTTTGTAATGTCCTGTTATGTGACTTTGGTTTACAATGTTTTTGCAGGAAACCAGCATTTGCTTTCAATTTCTGGCAGAAAAACTCACATTGTGGACAATGAGTTCACTTAATGAACACTACAAAAAAATATATCATAAAATCAGGCTGGCGCTTAATGAATGGCATGACTTACAACAATAATTCCAGTCATAAGCAAGAACTATCTGTATTTTGGGAAACGACACAGCATTTAACAATCAAAAGAAAAAGATATACTTCTCATAGGTGTAAAAGTTGTACAACTACTATATTCCATAAGCAAACCATATCTACACTTTTCCTAGTTTGTACAATCCAATCCTGCAGCACTACCATTTTTAAGTATTCTGATAGCACTTACTACTCCTCTTTCACCCATTTTTTGGACACTAATATTTAAACTTCATTTTATTTTTACTCTAATTTGATATTTCTCTAACTTTGATATTTCCATACAAATATCTAAAATACTCCTTCCAGTGTTTCCAATGTTACTTTTTAAAATTCCCATCCAATCTGCTGGAAGTTCATTTACCTCTTCCAAAGCACTGTTTAATTTCCATCAAAATCACTTTGCATTTCCTCTGCCTCTTTGAATTCTAACTATGCCTTTTTCTTTGTATTTACATTCTTTGTAAATATATTTTTAGTATATATAATTATACTGCACCTTTCCCTCATCCTTATTTTTTGCAGCAATCATTCTCTTAGATGTATTACATTCATCCCAAGCATTCTTTTTCATACTTCTGTGGCACATTTAACTATTTCTATTTTACCCATTCTCCTTCTCTATGTTGAGTTTCCATTTATTCTGTTGGAAAATTAATCTTCTAATACTTTTTCATATAGGAGTCATACTTTCATTCCCGTTTCTTTCATGTCCATTTTTTCCTAAGATACAGTCTTGACTCAAATACTAGATATCCTACATTAGGGACTTCTCATCATTGCAACCTTCACTAATCCTCTCAGCCTTCGATCAAAAACAATAAACCCAGTTTGCTTCTGAGTTCAATTCAAGATACTACATTTAAGGCCCTAGAATGGCATGCATCCAGAGTATCCGTGGAACTATCTCACCCCAATGGAACTAGCTTGCCCTACTAGCTCCAGTGGAAGGGCACCCGCTGCAGACACCATCTGCTAAGAAAGTCTGATAGGTGGGGTCAAGAAGAGCCTTTTCCACTATGATCCAGAGGCACAAACTACTCCCACCCTTTTGGCTCACTGCTGAAGGTGGTGGAGGGGATAAGCAGATTTTATCCCTGTGCTGTCTGTCTTGTTGGTTCTAGTTTCTTATATAGGTTTTTTAAATTTTAATTGTTTCTTTTTATTGTTTGTTAAGCTGCCCAGAGTTGACTTATTGGTGAGTTGGGTGGCATATAAAGTTAATAAAAATGACCAGTTAGAGTAGTGGTTCTCAACCTGTGGGTCGGGACCCCATTTGGGGTCGAACGACCATTTCACGGGGGTTGCCAAACAACGCAGTCTGCCATTTTTTCCCCCTTTTCCTTAGCTGTGCTACTCCCTTTTATTCTATTGGCTTTTGAAAGCCAATAGAATAGACTCTCTTGAATAGAGTCTAATTCTATTGGCTTTCAAAAGCCAATAGGAATTGTCCAGGCTGTCTCTGCCCTGCTGAGCCCACCAAAAGTCCCATTCTGCAAACGGTGCTGCACCAGTTGAGTAGTCCTCGACTTACGACCAGTTGAGTAGTCCTCGACTTACAACTAGTTGGGGGGGTCGCGGCATTAAAAAGGTTGAGAACCACTGAGTTAGAGTTAGACTGTAACAGGAGGCAGGGCAACATTTATTCTGGTATGTCAGAACCTTCTGGTTATAGTTAAAAAGATAACCACTTCTCATTAAAAAGAAAATACAGTGTGGGACAGCTAATGGAGCTGTGATTATAAGTTCTGGAGAGTTTTATTATTTTTCATGAATATCCTTACTTTTTCTCGGGAGCTCGAAAAGGGGAGAAGGTGCCTTTCCTAGTCTAGCCCCGTAACAACAACCCTAGGAGGTAGGTCGGACTAAAAAAGCGACTGTCGGGGAATTCTTCGGTTGGATGGGAATTCCCACCACCACCTCCTCGCTACTCTGCCTTTCCAGGGAGCCCCTTCTCTCACCTACCAACCCTTTGCCCGTTCTCGGAACAAAACGCCTCCCCGCCACCGCCGTCTACCAAAACGGAGGGAACTGCACGGTCCGTCGCACGCTGCCCATCCGCCGCCCTTTCCCCAAAGCCAGCATCTCAGCACCGACCCACCTCTGAGCCTCTCCGCGCAGCCGCCCCCTTCCCCGCCGCACCCCCAAAACAAACCACCGGCGCTACCGCTCCCCACTCCCGCAGCCAGGCCTGCAGCGCCTTTCTCCCCGTTTGCATCCGGCCACCGTCACGGACCTCATTTTGGCTCCCCTGTGGGCACCGGCCCCCGCGCCGCCGTTCTCCCCTCCATCCCCTCCTCCCAGACCGCCACCGGAAACACGCCAACCTCAATACGGATGCAGGGAATCCACCCTCCTCGGGCAGCAAAGCAGGAAATGCGGGGGCAGGGCTGAATTTGGGCCGCTCTAGCCACCGGGCCAAAGGGGTGATTTTATGGTTTATTTTGCTGGCAGACGGGCGGGGTTCGCTTAACTCCTCGCGCTCAGCCGAACAAAGAGATCACGGAACGACCTAACGCGAAGCGGGGAGGCTGCGTGCTGTATATTATATTACTGTTTCCCTTTACGGGGAAGCGTTTGTAGTGTGATGCGATTCCCCAGGCACTCCAAACATGCGTGCATTCACATAATCGATCATCACATTCATGAGTCCTCTTTCCAAAGCATCACATTACCTGATCTTCAAGTAATGCTGATATTTTTTTTAAAAAAGAATCGGGTTAAAGGCCAGGGCAACTCAACATTCCTGCACAAAGGCAGAAAAACAGACGTGTATATTTGCAAAACTGAATGGAATTTTTCTCTTTACTAGAGCAGCCCTTAGCTCTGAGTAACGGGGATTTTTAACATTCTTTATTATACTGATAAAGAAAACGGGCATTTCCAGTTCTTCAATGACTCTTATTTCAAGTTTCCCTATTCCTTAAGTTCCACCAAAATAAGAGATGCAGCCTTTGTCCAGCCTTGTTCACCCTTTTAAACGATGTAAATATAGTCTGTTAAAAAAAATCTCATATTGCTACCGGTATGTTCCATCTCTTATGACCTGATTTACGTATTGCACCAAGGCATAGTTTGTTAAACTATTGATGATGACTGAATAAATCACAGCTGGGTTCACACAGCACAGAAAAGCAGAAAGCCTCGGTTTTCAAAGGACTAAAGCAAAACCAAACAAAACTATTTGAATGCAGTCCAAGTGCAGGGAATGGGGATACCATATTTTGGGTTGCAACAATTCAGATGACTATAAGATGGCAGTATAGATACAAAAAACCCATGCTATCATAGAGTGGTCACCTGGATTTTTATATCCCAGTGTGTGGTAGTTTGCAAAAATATGGATGACCACTAGATGGCAACAAAAGGATACAGTACATTCTAACTATACTGATTAGAAGTATATATTTGGAATAATTTATTACGTATAACATTGACTATTGACCTCCCCCTCAAGTCCTGCTCTGCTGCCTCATGGCATTTATTTTCCTGGAGGAATGAAAGAAGAACACCAGGAATGCATGCTAAGAGTTTATGCTCCCAGCAGGATCACTTGACACTTAAAGGTCACTCCAACTGCTTAGCTAAAGCAAGCAGACATCTATACTGGACAGCAGTGATACAGGAAGATGTTGGAGATAGATGAACACTTCAAGAAAAATGACAAAAGATGTAATTTTATGCTATGTGGGAGTAGGCAATAGTAAACCATTTCTGTATTTTATCAAGAAAGCTGCATTAATAGACAAGACAAAGACTGACAAATAAGGTCAGATAATGAGCTCTATAGAGGAATGGTACCCAACATGCAATTGTGGAAGAGCTGAGGATCTTTAGTACAGGTAGTCCTCAACTTATGACCACAACTGAGCCCAAAATTTATGTTGCTAAGTGAAACAGTTGTTAAGTGAATGTTGCCCTATTTTATGACCTTTCTTGCCATAATTGTTGTGAATCACTGCAATGCATCAGTTAGTAACATGGTTGTTAAGTGAATCTGGCTTCCCCATTGACTTTACTTGTTGGAAGGTCCCAAAAGGTGATCACATGATCCCAGGACACTGCAACCATTGTAAATATGAATCAGTTGCCAATCATCCAAGTTTTGATCACATGACCATGGGGATGCTGCAGTGGTTGTAAGTGTGAGCCATAAGTCACTTTTTTCAGTTACGTTGTAACTTTGGATGGTCACTAAATGAACTGTTGTAAATCGAGGACTACCTGTACTTATGCTGTTTATGATGCAGTTACGGAAGTTTAAAAAAATCTCTAATGTTTAGTTGCTGATGTCATGCAAGAAAAGAAAATCCAAAGCTGCAAAGGCAGAATTACAGTGACACCAGGATATAAGAAGCATGAACATGGGAAAACCGAACATGTGAAAGATTAAATCAGTCAACTGCATATTAACATCTTGGGCATCAGAAAACTGAAATGGATTGGAATTCTGTCATGTGGTCAGAAGTTCATACAGTACTGTGAGCTACACAGGACACAGAAAAGAACTAACACTGTTGCTTTTAACCACTGATGCAGAAAAAAAGAGATTGAGGAATTTTATGGTCAAGTTTAATCAGCAATCAATTTATAAGCAAGATGTGCTTCTTGTGGTTGGAGACTAGAATACCAAAACTGGGAACAATAAAGAGAAAAACATAGCTGGATTTTATGGCTAGGAAACAGAAACGAAGCACAAGAATGACTTACCAATTTCTGGGGATCCAGTTTCAGAAACTCAGTTTTCAAGGACATCATCACAAATCACTCTGAAGTCCTCACCTTCATTGATAGGAAAAGGAATTGTGAAAAGAAATGAAAGAGGATCATTGTAAAAGGAGACTGCCAAAGATCAAGAAACAAAAGAAAGCAAACTAGATCAGAATAGATGGTGAAAAATTGTAACCAAAAAAGAGATGGGAAAAGAAGCCAAAGCCAAGAAAGAGAAAGCTTAATGAAAAAATTCAGAGAACTGTTAGCAAGGACAAGAAGCAGTATTACATCAACTTCTGTAAAGACCAATATGGAAACAGATACAGAAAAACAAGACTTTTTTTTTTAAGAACTGTGAATTCCAGAAGGAGATTCCAATCTTCATTTGGAATGATAAATGAATCCACTGGAGAGATAGTAATTCAGTGGTTCTCAACCTTTTTAATGCCACGACCCCATAATACAGTTCCCCATGTTGTGGTGACTCCCAACCACTTATACATCACCGGGTGCCAGGGGCGTGGCCAAAGAAAAGGGGGGAAAAAATGGCGGACAGCCTTGTTTGGCGACCCCCGTGAAATGGTCGTTCGACCCCAAATGGGGTCCCGACCCACAGGTTGAGAACCACTGTAGTAATTGAAGATTAAAAAGATGGGGAAATGTGCTGAAATTTATACTAAACATCTCAGCATCCAAGATATTTTAGAAGAAGCTCTAGGACTAAATACTCCTTTTTTAGAAGAAGCTCTAGGACTAAAAGATGAAGTTAAAGCAGTAACTGGTTATTAGTGAGAGGACTACAAGAACTGACAGTATACTGTATTTGCAGACATATGACAAGTGACAGACAAATCAGTAAAGGATGGAACTGAATGTGATTGTCACTGATACTTCCTCGGATGCTATTTTTTTTTCATCTGAACCTTAAAATATTAAACGAGTGATCAAACCTTTAGAACTGGGAACAAAAGTTGCTGAAAATGCTTTTATGTTGTAATTCCTCTACATGATATATATTTTCTATGGAGGAAGGACCTATGTATTGGATGTTCAGTAAAATCTCAGTTTAACAAACCATTTGAGTGGAGTGTGTGTCCATTAAATCCAAATGTCTATTAAATCCAAATTCACATCATTTGTATAATAAATCATTGCAGTAAACCTTGATTTAAAGGTCACATCCTCAAACAAAAGATTCGTACAAAGTCAGTTAATATGAAACTTGCCTAAAGATTAAAAAATGTAAATTGCTGAATATGTCTTTGGGATAGAACCTCGATACTTACGTCAGGTAGCTATCACTTCTTGTTTTTCACAAGTGTAACTCCAAGCTCTCTCTTGACCAGTTTCATTTCACAGTGCTCCTCAGTAAACCTAGAAGCTGCATGGAATTGATTAGTGAGAGAGGTTAGTCTTTGACTTACTACAGTTCATTTAGTGACTGTTCAAAGTTACAGCGGCACCGAAAAAAGTGACTTTTGACTATTTTTCACACACGTAGAAGCATCCCCATGGTCACGTGATCAAAATGCAGATGCTTGGAAACTGGCTCATATTTATAATGGTTGCAGTATCCAAGGGTCATGTGATCACCTTTTGCAACCTTCTGACAAGTAAAGTCAATGGGGAAGCCAGAGTCACTTAACAACTGTGTTACTAACTTAATAACTGCAGTGATTCACTTAAAACATGTGGCAAGAAAGGTTGTAAAATGGAGCAAAATTCACTTAACAACCTCCTTGCTTAGGAACAGAAATGTTGGGCTCAATTATTGTCGTAAGTCAAGGACTACCTGTATTGCCTCTGTATTCTAAAGATCAACAAAGCACCTAAAAGTAGCACCATCCAATTGCTGGGGAACTCCTCAAGTGCCATCAACAATAGGATCCATTTGGGGCAAATCCTCTTAATAGGTCCCTCCTCCCTGCATAAATTGGCCTCCTCCACCTGATTGGTGTTTGGAAGGGTCCTGAAGACTTGGCTCTTTGCCCAGGCCTTTGGCAAGCATAATTAAAGCCCCTTTTCTTCTTCTTTCACATTGTTCCAATCTGAATTTGTTATCTGCCTGTTTGCTCTTGTTGTTTTCTAGTCTTGATGGTTTTTTTTAACAATTTGTAAACTGCCCACACTTGCTGGGAATCAGGTGCCATACAAATTTAGTAAATAATAAGGAAGTGAGCTGCCCATGACAATGGACTGCTGGAAAAGTACCCAAGAACTGTGTCAGGACATATCAGTACAGAGTGAATACTTGGTTATGAATTCCCAAGCTGTCTTAGATCCCATGGAAAGGAGGTTGAAATCACCCACTAGTCGCAGTGTTTCTCAACCTTGACCATTTTAAGGCATTGCTGGCTGTGGAATTCTGGGAGTTGAAGTCCACATGCCTTAAAATGGTCAAGGTTGAGAAACACTGAGTGAGAGGCTGAGGAAACCTATAATTACCCCTTTGAGGAAATTAGGCAGTTTGGTGAAAGAGAGCAGTACAATTCCAGCACCCCAACTTGTTCCTTTGGCCCAGCATGGATTGCAACAACCCACATCCGACCACCTGCAGAATGGCACTCCACAACAGTTAGGATCTCCTGGCACCACATTATGCCAATCCTGTTGTGGGGTTGCAAATGATGCAGAATAAAACACCTAGCTGGACAGATCTCCATGAAGGAGACCCTTCCCCTTCAGCCAGCCAGATCTCAGTAATTAAATTATAGCTAAAGTCTCCCGGTCCTTTGAATAATCATGCCACATCAATGCACAGATAATCTTATTACAGTGAAAATTGGCAAATATATGCATATTTTTATTAAATGCAAAAGCTGTAACTATGTACTATGAGCTTTAATTCATTCAATGGGAGAGACTAAATTAGGGATATTTTGTGAGATATTACAAAGGTGCCCATTAATTGTATTGTTTGTTTCTAATTTTTTCCAATCCAGCTTGTGCCCATATTTAAATGAAACCAAAAAGGAAGATGCACCAACTTCAAAACTGATTGAAATATTGCATGTCTTCAGTCCACTAGTTAAGTTCTTGAACATCAAGATTTGAATAAATTGCAAATTGTTTTTGGGAGTAGAAAACACTGTAATCAGTTGTTGGTATTCAAAAATTGAGATAACTAAACTTACATCAATATGTTTCAGGCTATTTCAAAAGATCTGAAACACAATAGGTTTTAAAGCTGATAAAAATGTTAATTGAGAAACAATTTGTAATTTGTTCTCATGCAACCTTCATCTGTGCACCCACAGTCTTCCTCTCCCTCCTTCATCTGTATATACCGTACCTATTTAAATCGTACATCAGTTAAGCTACTCCACGCATCTGATAAATGAGCTGCAGTTCATGAAACCTTATACCTTGTAATAGTCTGTTAAAAAGATGCTCCAGACTCTTATTTCTGGCTACCATAGATAATCGCAGATCTACCTCTACAATGTCTGTAGTTGTTGGTACTGTCACTTTAATGCTTTATCAGCTTGCAATTGGCTGGAGGATTGGAACGTTCCTACATGTCGAAGGACTGTCTTGTGCTGTGATTGGCTGGACTAGACGCTGCAGGATACTTCCTGGAATGTCTGCAAGTGGACGTTCATCTGGCTGTTTCACTGAGAAGTGATGATGGGGACTTTCTTCTATACAAGATGTAATTAATAGCCAGGAGATTGTAGGTAAGAAGAATGTGCGATTTCGGCAGACGGTTTGTTGCTCTGGACACAGCACAAAAACATATGGACATGTTGCAGGGCCAGCAGATCCACGTTCAGTAGGAACGAGACTGCTCACTAGCATATTAAGTTCTATTGAACTTTTTAACCATGTTTCATTTAATTATATTATTACAATGCAAGCATATATTTTAAGAGTAAGTAAATTAGTATCTGCTTCATACGGAGAGGAATCGCAGAGCAAAAAACTGCTAGAAGATGAAATTTGATCAGGAGGGGGATAAATGATTCCCTAAGAAACAATGGAAAGTACTTTTATTTGTTTTTCTTTTTCACAGTGGAATGCAACCAACCAGATCAAGTATAGTACACAACCTCCCTTGAAACTAACTTTCTACATGTGCTGAAAATTATTCAGTTTGTTCAAAGTAGGTATTGTAACAATGGTCAGTGGGAGCTAAAACCTGACAAAACTGCATTACTAGCTTTTGTAAAATACCAGGAGGAGCTTATAATTTGCTTCAGAAAGGAAAAAGTTGGCAACAGCAGTTTAAACATGGCTGGAATTTGGGAGCAGATATGGGGAAGGGCAGAGTATATTTTATAGCCATCCTTTTAAATACTTAGATTGATTACACTCAAGACTGTACTAGAGAGGCTAATTTTTTTTATAATTTCCCAAGGAATATCAGCTTTTGCCCTGTTAGCAATAAGGAAACAAGAATCTATAAAAGAATATGATTTTACCTGTGCATTCTAAGGTTGTAATAAGTAAAAGCTCTTACATTGGTCGGAGGGAGGGGACGTTATATGTCTTTTGTGGTGAATTGATTAAAACTACAGTTATTTTCTGTATATATTACAGGAATTGTGTGTAAAACATTTGCATTTGAAATCTCTGTCAAAGAAGTTTGTCATAAGTCTATAGATGTGTGCTTTTTGATCATGGAAATGTAAGGTGTGTTTGGGATAGAAGGTGTGTGAACCTGGGGATGGTATATTAAGGTGACCAACCGTCCTCCTTTAGGGAGGACAGTCCTCCTTTTGTAAGTTCTGTCCTCCCTCGAAAAGTGTCCTCCTACATGTCCTCCTTTTCGATATTTGAAGACTAATCTGCAGGGCTTTTTTTTCTCACAGAACGCTCAGAACGGCATTCCGGCAACTTTTTTTGATGGTTTTTTTTTTTCAACTTTTGCATGAGCTGTGCTACTCGAAAGCCAATAGGAATTGCTGCTGAGCGCGCCAAAACACCTGGCTGGCAACTTTGCACATGCAAGTTGTCTGTATTATTGTTGCAACGAATAAAATGTTTCTTTTATTTACAATATTTTTTCTTCAATTTATTTGTGTCCTCCTTTTCATTGTAAAAAAGTTGGTCACCTTAGTATATAGTAGTGATGGCGAACCTTTTAGCGACTGAGTGCCCAAACTGCAACCCAAAACCCACTTATGCATCATCGAGTGCTGGGTGGGTGTGGCCAATTGGCTGGGCGTGGCCCATTGGCTGGGCGTGGCTGCGGTAGTAACGGCAGACTGGGTGGGACTAAAAAGTTCAATCAATCAATTCCCACTTTGCAAGATCTTTTTTTTCCCGCGAGAAGTTGAAATCGACTGATTGAACTTTTTTTTTTTTTTTTGCACATAGCGGAGGTCTAAAGTGAAAAGGTTTTATAAAACCCAGCTGAAGGCCTAGGACTGGGATGATGGCACGCATGCCCACAGAGAGGGCTCTGAGTGCCGCCTCCGGCACTCATGCCATAGGGTCGCCACCACTGGTATATAAAATTCAGCTCATATTCCTGCACATATTTCCACTAATATGCTGCTTCTTCCTTGATAGACAAATACAGGTAGTGCTCGACTTACAATAGTTTGTTTAATAACCATTCAAAGTTGTAACGGCATTGAAGAAAGTAACTTATGACCATTTTTCACACTTATGACCATTGTAGCATCCCCATGGCGACATGATCAAAATTCAAACGCTTGGCAACTGACATATTTATGATGATTGTAGTCTCCCAGAGGCATATGATCAACTTTTGGGACCTTCTGACAAGCAAAGTCAATGGGGAAACCAAATTCACTTAACAGCTATGCAAGAAAGGTCACAGGCAAAACTTACTTAGCAAACATCTCACTTAGCAGGAGAAAGTTGGGCTTAATTGTGGTGGTAAGTTGAGGACTACCTGTAAAAATTGATTTCTTGCTTATGTATTTTTAACTCCACGATGCTGTTTTTCAATTTGGATTTTTCAAAGCTTATTTTCCAAATTAGGTATCTGCAGTTGCGATAATATTGGCTGGGTTTATATAGTGACCCATAATTTGCTTATGACATCACAGCTGAATGAATTCACACAATATACTAACAAAAAAGAAAATCAAATTATGTCTTGATGTGCTATCAGAACCCAGCAGTTGCATGTTAAAATGTAGGGTTTATTTTAAAGTCTGGTTGGACATCCTCACATCTATACTTTTAGAAGCGTCTTTCTATATAAAAGTGAGTCTTGTTTGCTTTCTCTCTTGAATAGCTGACATATTAGCCTATGATGTTTAAAAACGAATACTGTAAAATATTGTTTCTGTAAGTGCCTTGTGATTCTGTATAAGTTTTCAGTCACAGAAGCTTTTCCAATTTGTCAGAATCCCAAGAGCCTAGATTTTGGTATTGGGCAAAATAGTATCAGCTTCTTGCAAATAATTGTAGAAGAAGGAAGAATGTGGTAATGGGAAGAATAAATTTAACTTACGCAACTTGTATATCTATGTCTTTATAATCTTGCATATTTGGAGTTGGGCTGTGTTTTATATCACTAGAAGAGAATACAATATCTTCAAGATTAAAATAGAATACTTTTCTTATCTGTTACAAACAGCATTGTCTTATTTGTTCTATCTATGAATATAAGACTATTTAAAATTATTTGCCAGGTACTGGAAATCAGAAGGCATTTAACATGACAACAGAAACGTTGGTGAAAGATATTAAACCAGGCATGAAAAACCTAAATCTTATATTCATTGTGCTGGAAACAGGTAAGTCATGTGAAAGAGAAAATAGGTTTGTATTTTTTTTTAAATCACTATGTAAGCAGTTGGGAGACCAAGATACATGCCCTATTTCTCACTAGAATGCTTCAATTCTGGGTAAGATATTTTCACTGCCTTTTTTTGTAATTACTTTGCTATGTAATGATTTCCTTTCCCTCACTGATCAACTAATTACTGTCTTATTCCAAAAAATGTTGGTTATTAGCCAGATTAAAAATACTTTCTTTAAAACAAAATTGTATTTTCAAAAAGATACTTTATATAACTAGACCGATAATGTTACTGAAGTTATAAAATTAATATTCAAAATAGCATTAGTAAAAGGTAAACCATAGCAAACAAAGTACATTGAACTATTTTTATGATGTAAAACAAAAGTATATATATTTTAGCTTAATGCCAAAATCTCCACTACAGTATTATTTATAATTATAAAAAAGAAGAAAAAAAAACCTTAAGAATAATATACATAAGTATTTAATTTCTGACTCCCCTCTTTGTACTCCAAACAATTTGCAGTACCTGTTGGCTTTTAAAGTTAAAAATACTTTTAAAAGTTTATTATATATTACATACTAATGAACTCAGTGGTATATACTTACAATACACTTAAGTGGCTTTAAAATTGCAATGTTATATGAGGGGGAAAAATAATACAGATAATTCTCGATTAATGATCAAAGTTATGTAATTAAAGTTAACAACATGATTAAGTGATCAAAGTTAACAGGATTTGCTTAAGGACAGCTACAAGGAATGCCGAGATTACTGTTGCTAAGCAACGGAGTTGTATGACCGCATCGCTTAGTGATTGAAATTCCTGTCCCAATTATCCTTAAGTGAGGTCTACCTGTATGGCATGATCACTGCTGCTGCTGATGAAGCAGTTTCTGTGATATAGAGAAGCAGACTGAACTCTCAGAAAATGAGTATTTTTTTAGATAATCTAAACAATTTACTTCCAGTTTGATACATATACCAGCTCAGTATTTAAACGTCTAGGCCAGAGGTAGGCAACCTTGGCTCTTTTATGACTCATGGACTTCAACTCCCAGAATTTCTGAGCCAGCATAGTCTGGGCTTAAAAGAATATGCAGTTGAAGGTGGGATGTATTTGGAGTGAAGCAGCGAGTGACAAAAAAACCCCTCTCCTTCACTCATGAAAGCAGATGCCTGCAGTTGTCTTAAATTGTGATTCTTGTTCTGTCATTAGGCCGGGTGACCAAGACAAAGGATGGCCACGAAGTACGGACGTGTAAAGTAGCTGACAGAACAGGCAGCATTAACATCTCTGTATGGGATGATGTTGGAAATTTAATCCAGCCAGGCGATATCATCCGACTCACCAAAGGGTATGGGGGATTTTTCCAAGACGAGTGGCTTGGGAAAAGCTTGGGGAAGAGGTGTTGTTTTTGAAACTGTGGCTAAACCCTATGTCAGGGGTAGGCAACCTTGGCTCTTTTATAACTCAGGAATTCTGGGAGTTGAAGTCCACGAGTCATAAAAGAGCCAAGGTTGCCTACCTCTGCCCTATGTCAAGAGAGCAGCAACTACGGCTTGGCTATTTTGTGGAATGTGCTCAAATTAGTTCATACAAATTAGTTATTTAATGTGTTTCACCACTTTTCTAAATTTAGTTAGGAAAGTTTAAGGGAAAGGTGGGAAATCTGAGACTTCAGATGTTGCTGAACTATTATCTTCCAACACACCTCATGCAGTCTTGGGCTACCAGTTGTTTTAGATCCAGCAGAATGAACTTTTCATCAGCCCTAATATAAAGACTGTGTATAATTCTTGGGATCAGTCTAATCTGCAACATTTAACCTATTTCTTAGACCATACATATTTTCTTCTGCAAATGTACATGTTGTTTTTAAGGTTAATTTTCCTCGTATTTATACAAAGGCAGACTTAAGCTTAATTTATGCATTGTTGTTGGTCATAATTTAGTTTGCTTAACATTGATTTGTCTTGTGGAGTTGAACCCAGCTATTGTGGTTTATAAACCATGATTTATGGCTCAGTATTTAATTTGAACCTATCCAATTTTGCTTATTCAGTAAATGATGGTTAACCAAACACTGATTGAGCAGAACGCGTGAATCTGCCTATAAAAAGTGGTGTATAGGTAGTGTACTTTTAGTGACTACAATTGGGACTGGCAACTCGCTTGTTCAGAGAAGCAGTTGCCAAATGAAACAATTGCTGTGCTTAGGATCTTACTTCAGCTTTCTTCTGCTTTAGAGACCTACAAAGGTTATAAATGTGAGAATTGGTCATAAAATTACTTTTTCATCACTGTTGTAAGACTGAACAATCACTAAATGAAACAGTCACTAAACAGGAACTACCTGTATACAAGCAGAGTGTCCTGTAACATTGCTCTGACCTTTTTTGATGTTCTGTGCAAATATGAACATGCTAGCAAAGACCCAACACGTTAAGTTTGCCATACTCTGCAGCCAGCCCAATTAACTGAACATTTTTGTTTGATTCAAATAAGTAGAGCAAATCTAGAAAACTTAGCAGCAGAATCCCATTCATGGCTCCTTGGAAATAAGTCTGTTGAATTCAAGGGTTCTCACTCCTAGATAAATCAGTTTGAAGTTCATATGTTACTGGTTTCAATGAGATTTAAGAACATATAATTTTCCTCTCTTGCACCCATTATCATCTTTGTCTGGAAGATTAGTTTACTTCCATGAGGAACAAACAAGCACTGTACAGATATTATATAGATAGAGCTTCATGTGATGCACCAAAAAGACAGATTTCTTCTTAAACAAAACTAAGAACTGTGTGCTGCTTTCAATAATGAGTTTTTCTTTATCAGGTACTCATCAATTTTCAAAGGCTGCTTGACACTGTACACTGGACGTGGAGGAGATCTGCAGAAAGTAGGAGAGTAAGGCTCATAGTTTATCTCAGTGGTTCTTCCTAGTATTAGGGGATGGCTAGGTGGATTTTTTCCAATGTTGTGCAAAGACAGATTATCACCAAAGAATAATTCTGTCCTAGAAGATATAAAATATCTGAAACCATAGAAGGCATCTTCCTTTGTTTTTAAGTTGAAAGAAATTGGTAACATCTTAGTATATTTCAGATTACATTTAGCAATCCACCAGGTCTAAATTTTACGCCATGATTTCTTTATTCTCTAGGATAAATGTCCCCACCCTGTGCTATACTTAATTTACATTTCACTTTGTTATCATGATATATTTTGTTTTTTCACAGTGAACCTCTAGTTTTCCCAGTGATTATTTCAGTGAGACATTCCACACTGAAATATTACAGTTGTTATTTATGCTAATAAAGATTTGTATAATGATTTTTATATATTGTTCTTTAGCCATTCTTAAATCAGTTTATAGTGCTATAGAGGTTCACTATCCTTAGGCTAAAAAGGCATGGCTTGGAAGAAAAATGTGAATAAGGACAAAGAATAATATTAAATATGTGCAGGTCAAAGAGGAAAAAATAATTCAAAATGCACGGGGGGAGTGATCTTGAAAGTTTATTTTATTTTATTTTAATCCTCCCTTTATTATCTTTATAAATAATTAAGGCAGCAAACATATCTAATACGCCTTCCTCATATTTTCCCCACAATAGCAATCCTACAAGGTGATTTGGACTGAGGGAGAGTGACTGGCTCAAACTCATTCAGCCAGCTTTTATGCCTAAAGCAGGACTAGAACTCACAGTCTCCCAGTTTTTAGCCTGGTGCCTTAACTAGTAGATCAAACTGGCTCCTTCATTTCATAACATTTCAATTTATGAAGAAGCTGCATCTTTCCTGGTATTGTGCAGATGCTGCCCCACATTCCTGGAAAAGATGTGTTTGATTTAAGGAACTACCAGCAGGTGCTATGTGTTAATTCACCTAATTGACCTCTCCCCCTTTAAAGCTCTGAACATCTCAAAGGCCACAGTGCTCAGTTTTAATGTTAAAATGATCTTGGTGTATCTATTCCACTAACCATGAATCAATCTTAAATGCCCAGATAAAACAAGTGTGTCCAAGTTCTAAAGCTGATGGTTGATGCATTTCCTAGTTGATGTCTGAGTCAGAGCTCCTTCACCCCTCCTTTGATCTTCAGTAGGAGCTCACTGTGAATAATCTTGCCTCACTGTTATTATCTACCTCTGGATCGCTTTCATTTATTAACAATATGAACATTAACACCAGGTCCATAATGTTGCCATTGTTGGCTGGTCAAGTTTTAATTTCAATGGGTTGAGTTAATATTTTCCCACCTTCATTCTTTCCACCCTTATTATTTCCCTTGAAAGTCCATTGTTTGGAAGAGTGGAGCTTTTAAGTTTTGTATTTGCCAGAAAAAAATTAAAGGTACTTTCGGGATTGTTTTGCATGGTTATTCCATCTTGCTGCACTAAGAGGGAGAAAAAGGATATTTTGGCACCTCTTTGTTGGGGAGGGGGCAGCAGTCTTCAGTTTATCTTCCAAAGGAAGCTTAGTAATATCCCTTAGAGCAGAGTTCTCTAACCTTGGCCACTTTGTAACTTGTGGACTTCAACTCCCAGAATTCCTCAGCCAGCCATGCTGGCTGAGAAATTCTGAGAGTTGAAGTCCACAAATCATAAAGTGGCCAAGGTAGACGGACCCCTGCCTTAGAGTACCAGATGGATTTCCATACTAGTTATAATTTTAGTGGTGCCTCATTTTGTTTCCCTTCTTCTGTCTAAACTTTTTTTCTTTTGTTTTCAAGCCACTTTGATTGCAAGAATCGGGGTTTCTTTTTCAAGCGAGCTATAAGCCGCCATAGGACATATTGCAGTTTCATTACAACAGTGCAGTATACATTATTAAGAGAGAGGGAATTTAAAAGAACAAGGAAAAAAAATTCATCAGTTGAATGACAATTGCATCTTCTGCTCTCTAGGTTTTGTATGGTTTATTCAGAAGTGCCAAATTTCAGTGAGCCAAATCCTGACTATGTTGCCCAGCAGTCACAAAACAAAAATGTAAGTATAAGAATTGCCTTAGTTTGGTTTTTCTTAGTCAGTGACTTAGCGGGACTCAGAAATAGTGTAGGGGGGGACATAAGCTTGGTCAGTGAAACTTTAAAGCTTTAAAACCTAACCATGAATGATGTGTACAGTAATAGATTGCTTCTAAACATATATATATGTCTTTCTTGGAAAAAGTGGGCTGTTTTGTTTTCAGAATGGTGGAACCCAATTTCATCACTAGAGTGCTTTATGCAAAGTAAGAAAAATCCGAGAATCTTTGTCTAAACCAGTGGTTCTCAACCTTTTTAATGCCACGACCCCCAACTGGTCGTAAGTCGAGGACTACTCAACCGGTCGTAAGTCGAGGACTACTCAACTGATGCAGCACCGTTTGCAGAATGGGACTTTTGGCGGGCTCAGCAGGGCAGAGACAGCCTGGACAATTCCTATGGGCTTTTGAAAGCCAATAGAATTAGACTCTATTCAAGCTAAGGAAAAGGGGGAAAAATGGCGGACTGCGTTGTTTGGCAACCCCCGTGAAATGATCGTTCGACCCCAAATGGGGTCCCGACCCACAGGTTGAGAACCACTGGTCTAAACTGATGTTGACGTGTGAAATAAATTTTTAATGATGGATTTCATAAGAACTGTTCCTTGCCCAGTCGCAGGATGACTGTACTTTTCTTGCCATTTCTTTTTGCTCAAGCAGAATCCTTTAAAAATATGCCTCTTGTGATAACCACCTCCTGTTGCATTTCTTCTTTTAAAATCCCGTGCTTGTTTTAGATTTTGTAGAAGTTGGGGTTTACATGTGCCTATCAAGAGAAAGTTTCAGCAGGTGGCAGCATTGGCCCAACTTGGGAGTCAGAAGCTAAACTAAACGAGACTTGTTTATTATGTGTATAGGACTCTCAGCAGCCAGTACTGGAGATATTGATTGAGACAGGAATTCAAAAAATGAAAAAGGAATGATAAAGACCTCTTTAGTTCTGTTGACGGTGACATATAGTAATAGTAATAGTAGTAAAGTTGGAAGGGACCTTGGAGGTCATCTAGTCCAACCCCCTGCTCGGGCAGGAAACCCTACACCATTTCGGACAAATGGCTGTCCAGTCTCTTCTTAAAAACTTCCAGTGTTGGAGCATTTACTGCTTCTGGAGGCAAGCTGTTCCACTGATTAATTGTTCTCACTGTCAGGAAGTTTCTCCTTAGTTCTAGGTTGCTTCTCTCCTTGATTAGTTTCCACCCGTTGCTTCTTGTCCTGCCTTCAGGTGCTTTGGAAAATAGCTTAATTCCCTCTTCTTTATGGCAGCCCCTGAGATATTGGAATACTGCTATCATGTCCCCCCTTGTCCTTCTCTTCGTTAAACTAGACATACCCAATTCTCGCAACCGTTCCTTATATGTTTTAGCCTCCAGTCCCCTAATCATCTTTGTTGCTCTTCTCTGTACTCTTTCTAGAGTCTCAACATCTTTTTTACATCGTGGTGACCAAAACTGGATGCAGTATTCCAAGTGTGGCCTTACCAAGGCATTGAAGAGTGGTATTAATACTTCACGTGATCTTGATTCTATCCCTCTGTTAATGCAGCCTAGCACTGTGTTGGCCTTTTTGGCAGCTGCAGCACACTGCTGGCTCATATTTAAGTGATTGTCTACTAGGACTCCGAGGTCCCTCTCACAGTTACTACTATTGAGCATGGTGCCACCTATGCTGTACTTGTGCATTTGGTTTTTCTTGCCTAAATGTAGAACCTTGCTTTTTTCACCATTGAATTTCATTTTGTTAGTTAGTGCCCAGTGTTCAAGTCTGTCCAGATCCTTCTGTATCTTAAGCCTGTCTTCTGGAGTGTTGGCTATTCCTGCCAGCTTGGTGTCGTCTGCAAATTTGATGAGTTCCCCATCTATCCCTTCATCCAAATCGTTGATGAAGATGTTGAAGAGTACTGGGCCCAGAACAGAGCCCTGGGGCACCCCACTACACACTTCCCTCCATATAGATGCAGTTCCATTGAGGACCACTCGCTGAGTACGGCCGGTCAGCCAGCTACGGATCCATCTGGTGGTGGTTCTGTCTACCCCACATTTTTCTATCTTGTCAAGTAGTAGGTTGTGATCTACTTTATCAAATGCCTTACTGAAGTCCAAGTAAATTATGTCCACAGCATTCCTCTGATCCACTAATTTTGTCACTTGGTCAAAGAATGCAATAAGATTTGTCTGGCATGATCTATTTTTGACAAACCCATGTTGGCTTTTAGTAATGACTTTGTTTGCCTCTAGGTGTTCGTTGATTCGTTGTTTGATTATCTTTTCCAGGATCTTCCCAGGTATTGAGGTCAGGCTGATAGGTCTGTAATTTCCTGGATCCATTTTTTTTCCTTTTTTGAGGATGGGAACTACATCAGCTCTTTTCCAGTCCTCTGGTAGTTCCCCTGTGTTCCAGGATCTTTGAAAAATATAGTTCAGTGGCTCCGATATCACATCTGCCAGTTCCTTGAGAACTCTGGGGTGTAATCCGTCTGGTCCTGGCGATTTGAACTCATCTAGGCTGGACAGGTGCTCACTAACGATTTTCTTGCCTATCTTAATATATACATATGGTTGCCTCCATAACGTGCTCAGAAGTCAATCTCAACTGAGGGACCTTACACAATCTAATTACACAATCTAGTTCAGGACAAATGAGCCTGATGTTTTGGGCTTCACCCTCTGCTAGTCCCAACCGGGTCAGGGATTATGTAGATTCAGATCATCTAGAGCAAGGATGTCAAGCTGGATGCGTCACGCGGAAGCCGCGCCCACCCCAGCTCCAGCAAGGGGAAAAAAGTCGCGATACATTGCGACACGTCACGTGACGCAGCGAGTTTGACACCCCTGATCTAGAGAAATGACTACAGAAGGTATCATGGACCTCAAGTGTCAGGCAAAACCAGGGATGCAAGTCCCACTCCTTTTATATGCAAGCAATACATATGGTAGCCATTAAAAAGAGTCATGGCTTCAGTTATCTAGTAACACTAGCCATATTGAAGATACTGACCCTTCTCATACCCCAAGGTGGATAGTCTACCCTGGCTTTCCTTTCAGGAAAAAAAAGGGGATAATAAACTTTTCAGGTGTGTAACCTAAGAGAGTTCATACGTGTTTAAGAGACACTTTAATGAAATGTAAAGGGATAAGCAGGAGCTGAAGCGTTTCCCCTGCATGAGTTTTAAAAAAGTGGCATAGTGGTTGTGCTTTGGATTGCATTGAGAGAACCTGGATTGATGTCCCTCCTCACTCATGGAAACTAACTATATATAGTCTCAGCCAAACATACCTCACTGAGTTATGGGAAGAAAATGAAGGGTGATCCCCATATTTCCAGCTTTCAGTAACTGGAGAAAATATGAGAATCAAATCTAAGAAATAATGATACAAAATCTCAGGATATGTATTTGGCAAATTTATTGGTTGCCTAAATGGATCTAACTCACCAGTATGAGGAGGACTTTAAATGGGAGCAAATTTAGTGGCTAGTTGGCTGGAGCTAATTTAGTGGCTAGTCATCTCTCAGAAATATTTTACAGATAACATCTTAATAGATAACATCATGCCAGCCAGATCTTGTTGCTTTGTTGTGTAAAGATGTTTTTGTTGTGCAATGTAGTATAGTTTATGCCACCTATTCTTCTCCACCCACACTTAGAAATTCTGGGTAAATAGTTGGATTGGTTTCCTTCTCTGTTCTCTACCCCAGGGTCTTTTAAATCTAGAATTTCTGCATGGGTTAAAATAGTTGTTTTTTTTCTGTCTTATAGACCCCAAATGACAACGCAGCCCCCACAGCCTCTCAAACCACACCAGGACCTTCTACATCAGCAGGTAATACAACTGGATCCAAGCTAATGAGCGATAGGTCTGCTCTTGCCTTGATGACCTTCTGACAATCTGATTTATAGATTTATAAATAGGGTGGGCTAATTTATTGGCTGGTAGTGCATAAGCATGTAGCTGGGCTTGTATATAATATTGTATCATAAACTGGGACCTTTTATTCCTTCTGCTTGGCTTGCACATATGTTAATTATAATATGATTTATTTGGTTTTAGCTTAAAGTTACATAGAGGTAGTCCTTGACTTACAACCATAGCAGAGTCCAAAATTTTGATTGCTAAGCAATGCAATTAAGTGAGTTATGCCTCATTTTGTGACCCTTTTTGCTACAGTTGTTAAGCAAATCATGCAGCCATTAAGCAATTCTGGCTTCTTCCATTGACTTTGCTTGTCAGAAGCCAGCTGGGAAGATTATAAATGGTGATCACCTGATCCCAGGACAATGCAACCCGTCAAATAAATCCATGCCAGTTGACAAGCACCCGAATCCTGATTGACCATGGGGATGCTGGAACCGTCGTAAATGTAAAAACGTTCACCAATCACTTTTTTCAGTGCTGTTGTAACTTTAATAGGTCACTAAATGAATGGTTGTAAGTCGAGGACTACCTATATTAATTTAGATACCGTGGCTTATAAACCATGATTTATGACAATGTTACATGGGAATAAAATTAGTGCTTTGTATGGTCAACAAACCATATGTCAGTGCACTAGTCAGGAGGCCACATGAGTTCTCCCAGCATCTCAGGATTTTGTAGCAGAGAAGCCAGTCTTCACTGGTACAATATTTATGTGGGGCTTTGAAAGTAAGGGTGGAGCAGAGAGTGGAAGGTCTCCAACCTTCGCCTGAGACTTCTTCTCCCAAGCCCCCAAAGTGAACTGAAATGGGACTATTAAAAGATGGCTATGAAAGTTGGACCATAAGAAAGGCTGAACACCAAAGAATTGAGGCCTTTGAACTATGGTGCTCCTGCGTGTCCCCTGGACTGCAAGGCGATCAAACCGGTCAGTCATAAAGGAGATCAACCCCGACTGCTCTTTAGAAGGCCAGATCCTGAAGTTGAAACTCAAATACTTTGGCCATCTAATGAGAAGGAAGGACTCACTGGAGAAGAGCCTAATGCTGGGAAAGATTGAGGGCAATAGAAGAATGAGACGACAGAGAATGAGGTGGCTGGATGGAGTCACTGAAGCAGGAGGCGTGAGCTTAAATGGACTCCAGAAGATGGTAGAGGACAGGAAGGCCTGGAAGAATGTTGTCCATGGGGTCGCGATGGGTCGGACACGACTTCGCATCTAACAACGATTCTTGGCTGTTGGGAAGTTCTTCATGGTAGAAATGGAGCACTTTACCTTCAAGAAGCTTCCTGTGCCCATCCTTCCCTTCCTTTATTATCTCTCCTTAGAAAACTCAGAAAAATGAGCAGAAGGGTATTGTGATGATCCCTGGAGGCTTTCAGCTGCTCAGGGGAGTAAGTTGCTGCCCCTGATCAGGCTGCCTATCCCTGCTTAGCATGATGTCAATCTCAACTTCTGGGCTAGTCTTCCTTTGACCGGCAGGAGTCATATAGAAATGTGGCCCAAAGGCCATGGTCTCATTGCCTAGTGATTTACTACAAACTTGTAGAACTCCCTCCTTGGAGAATCATCTGCCAGAAGATCTAGCATTTCTTCTCCAATCAATGAAATAAAACCCAGTTCCAAAATCAAGTTGCCGCAAGGCAAAAACCAACAAGCAAAAATGTATCTCCGTTTGGCTTCTCTACCTTTTCACTTATTTTTGGAGGGGAGAGGTCATTTTTCTTGCTCGTACTCCTTTGGTCTCCTTTGTGGGTCCTTGTCTGAGAACTCAGTATAGAATATGTAGGGACAAATCTTTCATAGTAATCTGGTTTTTGAAGATGACACTGAATTTTGTAGCTTCGTTGATCTTGTTTCACTCGTATCTTTCTATGTTCCTTTATGTTATTTGGCTTTAGCTGCAGAGAACCAGAATGGCAATGGGATGATCTCCTCTGGCGGTGCTCTGCACCAACCCAGCATCTCAACCCATCCGACCACCAGTCGCATCACTAGGAGTCAACCCAACCATCAAGGTGGAAGCTCATCAAGCCTAGGGTCCTCCTCAAACCCAGTCAGCAATGGCAAAGAGACACGGAGAAGTAGCAAGAGATAGCAGGGGCTGTGGGTTCAGGAAAGCTTTGGATCCCTCTTTCCTCCACTGCCTGCAATACTACTTTGTGCCTCCTTCTGAGGCAAAACAGCTGCTGCTGAGGAGACAGCATGGATACTAGGCTGGAGTAGAGACTCTGGGAACAACGTAACGTTTAACCACTGAAATGTATTTTTAACATGGGGTATTATGATTGGGCGAGAGAGATACAGTCTTCAGTGTTTTTACTGAAAAGCTCGTCTTGCCTTTTAGGAATCTTCAAATATTGTAAATTGCACTCATTTTTTTTTTTTGCTGGAAATCAATACAAGTGACCTGCCATCTGTTTATTTGATAGTATTTTGTTCCTGTCCATTATCCTCCCAGATAATAAGCTCCTGTGAGTTGGGCATGAGTTTTTGCATTTAGCTCTTTTTAGTTTAGATCTGCACTTCTTCAAACTCTTTACCTAATCTTTTTAGTCTACAAATTGGAATGAATATGGTTCATAACTTCCCAAGGAAGTGCAGCTGGGCAATAAGAACTGATGCCATGCTTTCCAGAACAACCTTAGGACTGGCCAATAACAGAGCCTTGTCATGTCCAAGAGCCCTGGTGGCATAGTGATTAGAATGCAGCATTGCAGGCTAACTCTGCCCACAGTCTGGAGTTCGATCCTGACAGGCTCAAGGTTGATTCAGCCTTCCATCCTTCCGAGGTCAGTAAAATGAGGAGCCAGACTGTTGGGGGCCATAGGCTGATGTTGTAAACCTCTCAGAGAGTGCTGTAAAGCAGGGGTCCCCAACCCCCAGCTAGCAGCTCACTACCACCCATGGCCTATTTGGAACCAGGCTGCGCGAGTGGCAAGCAGCACGCACGCGTGTGCGCAGCTTGACTTGCATGAGTGGCGGTTCAGCGCACATGTACATGTGTGCAGACTTCAACTTGCGCAAGTTGAGCTGTGCACGCATGCATGTGCGTGCTGGCCTACAGCTTGCACAAGTTGAGCTATGTGTGTGCACCAACCCACTGTTCGCACGGCCCAGTTCCCCTCTCACCTCCCCCAGCTGGGCAGCTAAGCCACAAAGATGGGGGACCGCTGCTATAAAGCTCTATGGGATGGTATATAAGTCTTAGGTGCTATTGCTGTTGCTACAGCTATTTCCCCAAAAGTGACACTATAATTTACGGCAAACTTTAGAGAGGTTTCTGAAAACAACATGGTAAAAGTACAACAAAATTAGAATAAATAATAGATTAATCTTTGTTTCAAAATCCTAGCTTTTAATTGTTATGAAAATCAATGGTTTTTAAGGATACATTATTGTGCTGAGATCTTGAATTCTTTTACATTCCAATAGAACATAGAATACCGTATATGTCGGCGTATAAGGCAACTTCCACGAGTGCTAAAATCGGTGCCAAGGACGGGGGTCGTCTTATACGCCGAGTCGTCTTATACGCCGGAAATACTGGTAGTTTCCAGCGTATAAGATGACGTTCTAGGAATGCGGCTCGGCGACAAAGACGGGGGTTGTCTTATACGCCGGGTCGCCTTGTACGCCAGCATATACGGTAATTCAGGCTAATTCTGTCCATTGCCAGGAGTTCGATTCTGACTGGCTGAAAGTTGACTCAGCCTTCCATCCTTCCAAGGTCAGTAAAATGAGGACCCAGATTGTTGGGGGCAATATGCTGACATTGTAAACTGCTTAGAGAGGGCTGTAAAGCACTGTAAAGCAGTATATAAGTCTAAGTGCTATTGCTATAATAGGGTTGAAAGGGACCTCAGAGGTCTTTTACTCCAGCCCCCTACCCGAGCAGGAGACCCCATATCAGAGGCTGTTTAGATTGAGCTTTCTGTCTATAGTCCAGGGGTCTTCAAACTTGGCCCTTTTATGCCTTGTGGACTTCAACTCCCAGAATTCCTCAGCCAGCGAGCCTGGCTGAGGAATTCTGGGAGTTGAAGTCCACAAGTCATAAAAGGGCCAGGTTTGAAGACCCCTGGACTATAGTCACTGCTCCTATTTTGCATCTTCATGCACACAGCCAAGTGAAAGATAATGTCTGTTTATTTTTGAACTGGAAGACCTATACAGATTACGAATGCCAATCAGAATCTTTTGACATTGTAAGAGTCCTATGGGGCATATTTCATGTGTATTTTAATTTAATATCTCTCTCCGTATGCATAATTAGAAAACATAAGGGGCTAGCTTAGGCCAAAATTCTGCAAAGCTTGCAGGAAGCTATATGTTATCTGGTTCTTGTTTATTTGAAGAAGTGTTAAAATCAGCCTTTATCTCAAATAGATCTAAGCATTTTAAAAGGAAGAGAGTGGTCTTTATCCTGAAACTGTTGCCAAAGTTACAACCATTTTAATGCTAATAAAACATCAGAAGGAATGTCTTACTTTTTCCTTGTTATTATGAATAAATGACAGCTGCTTAAACATTTAAATATGTTTTGAAATGCTTTGTTATGTAGTTGTTTGGCTACTGCCCCACGTTTTTGCTTCTTTTCCATTGCTCCCCTTTCCAAAATAATTGCTTGAATTAATTCTTAAAAGAACTTCATTGTTTATTCTAGCGTGGTGTGGTTATTGAATGTACTATATGAACAATAACATCTATGAATAGTTGGGGAATAAATTTTAACCTTCTTATTCTTTGAGTTTCTCCATGAAGTGCAAATGCTTAATGAGATGAAACTATGGATTAGAAGGCTTAATACTTACAAGCCAAAGGCAAATAGATATATATTATATATGTAATTGTATAATTACCTGATATGAGAGCTAATTTAACATTAGATAACTCAAGATAAATAACATGAGTCAGATGCAGTCCGTGTTCTTGTTTGTCTCAGTTCTCTTGTTCCTTCTGAAATTGATGCCATCTTGCCAAAATTGTTTTCCTCTCCTCTCACAGTCTGAAATATCAGACTGGGGTTTCCTTTTCAGATGAAAATATATTGTGCTGGTTGTCTGAAGAAAATCCATGGTTTGGTTATTGGAAAAGTAAGTAAAAAAATAAATGTAAGATTATTGGTAATAAATGAAAATCTTGGAGTTGAGAATTTTGCGTGGCCAATGCTGTACTGAAGAGCTGGAAGATCAAGCATAGATTTATAAATTATTTATTTGGGGTAAATATTAGATTGCTTAACAATTACTGTACTTTGAAGTTAGGGGAGTAGCAGTGTAATTTTGGTAAGTTAATACTTACAGTATTTCTCCATTTTTCTTTGAATTAGAAGAAGCAGCGGACTGTAGAAATATGGAATATTTTAGGGTTTCAGCACAGTTACTGTAGAATTTAATACTATTATTAGCCTATGCACTCATTCCTGTAAAAAGAAAATGAAGAGTATATTGCCTTACCTGCAGAAAACCGCTATAATGAGGAAAATAAATCTTTGTGGTTTATATGTAAAATATCCATCCCTCTCCATCCACTCGAATAATTAGTTGAATGAACTTTCTATTAGAACCAAGTTTCTAAAGTAATTTTAAAACATACAAATCAAGGCAAGTTTTTTTAAACCTTGGTACAAATTGGTACAATGGAGACTGTACGTAAATATATTAGTCACATAAAACAATTCACTCAGATGCAGAAGTTGAGTCACCTACATATTGCTACACTGCCTAATGTCCCAATCATTGTGTCTGGCACTCATAAACCCAATTATCAGAAATGTTGATTTTTCTCTCTGACCAAGAAATTGCAATCTTCCTAAAGACTTTATGTGGAAATTGCAATAAAACTTGCCAAATTTCAAGATCCTTTTCAAATTATTGTTTCAGGTTTTGGGGTGTTTGTATTCTAAATTTTGCATGTTACCGTGATGGGCAGGGTGCCAAAACAAAGCAAGATTAGGCATACACTTCAAAAGAATCCAGGAAGTCTGTAATTGGGGAATTAGTCTGGTAAAAACAAAAAATGCTTATTCACAGGGAATATGCAAGTGTAAAGCTTGTAATGGCGTTCAAACCGGTCAGTCCTAGAAGAGATCAACCCCAACTGCTCTTTAGAAGGCCAGATCCTGAAGTTGAAACTCAAGTACTTTGGCCACCTAATGAGAATGAAGGATTCACTGGAGAAGAGCCTAATGCTGGGAAAGATTGAGGGCAATAGAAGAAGGGGACGACAGAGAATGAGATGGCTGGATGGAGTCACTGAAGCAGTAGGTATGAATTTAAATGGACTCCAGAAGATGGTAGAGGACAGGAAGACCTGGAGGAATGTTGTCCATGGGGTCGCGATGGGTTGGACACAACTTCGCAATTAACAACAACAAAAGCTTGTAATAATTCTGGGTGGTTAGAGAACTGATAAAAGTAATGAAGAGTTACGCATTTTGCAGACTCAGCTAAAAGTTAGGAATAGGGAGGGCCTGGAACAAATAGGATGTGTATTAGATAACTCCTGAAGCTTTCATTAGCCAAGGCTTAGGAATAGGGATGGCTAGAGACCAATAGAATAATTGTTAAGTTTATTATTGAAATGTTTATTAGATGATACTTATCTATCCCACCTTATCCCGCCTTCGGCTTTAGAGAAAATGTACAAAGCTTTCTTAATTCTGTGGCTTGAGGTTCCTTGGCATTTTGGCCAGGATCCCTTTTCTTGGAGCGCTTCAATAAAAGACAACACCTGCACCTCGTGTCTGGTGTTCTTCATCGGCCTCAGCACCAGGCTCAGACCCGAATTGGGGACAACACCATATTTATTGGTCATGATTGGATTTGCTATTTCAGTCAAGCAAATGGCCATGAGTGCTGGTAGAGCTTAAGATAGTCACACCAGCTTTCTCTACCTGCTGGCAAACGGGTTGTATTCTCACTCATGCAACTATAGACCGGTGGATATGTAGTGCCTATGTCATCTTTTCTATTTTTACGGGTGAGAGAAGTTAGCAGTTAAGGAAGCTAAACTTCCCTAGATCCGTACTTTGGGGAGATCTGAGCGCAAGCCCCATCCTTCAAGGTACAGCCTTTTACCAACATACCAACCTAACCCCGCCTATCACTGCCACTTTGCCGCTTTGCTTGCCACGTGGGCCGGAGGGGGGCTTGAAGGGTCCTTTTGAAAAAAACGAGTCGGCTTAGAAGCGCCTGCGCTTAAAAGAGGCTGCTCTCAGGGTCTCACAAATGGGTGTTGAAAGAAGAAGAGTGGAGCAGAGATTAGGAGTGGTTTTTTCCAAGCGCGATCGAAGAAATGAAATCAGTTCGTGGGGGAAAAAAACCAGGCGGATGTTAGCCACCCTGGAGGGAAGAAGACTGGGAAAGCGCCTCTAACCGGCACTGAGTAGGGGACTCGGGAGCGCGAGGGTCCGCTGTGGGGGACGCCGGTGAGAACTAAACAGCGGGAGCGATGAGCTTGGAAACGGGGCACCTAATCTAGGGAGAAGTAATAGGGGGGTAGCACTTACAAGTTGATGTAATGAAGTGAGTAAGTGTAGACGTTTCTGTTCTGAATTCGGCTCTGCCACGCAGGGCACCGAATGCCTTTGGCAAGGCGGTGGGGCTCTGAAGTTTGGCTCTCGATTTGCACAGTGGGGACGAATAATAGTGGCCTGTCTTTAAGAGTTGTTTCTAAAGATCATTGAGATAATATATGCAAAATAGTTGGAATACATATATAAGCGGTGCTTCTGTTATGAACACATGAGCATTCAATCCTAAACTCGAATTTCGAGAGAGAGATTAGATTGCAAATTTCATCCTGACTCGTGGACGTGCTGGTTGAAATTAACGGGCTGTCTGTTATTCAAAGTCTGGAGAAAATCTCTGGCAAAAACACCGATACTGGATAGCTCTCCAAGAATGCAAGAATAAAAGTAATATTTTCAGTGTGTGGGGGGTGTGTGTTAAAGAATTGCTGTAAAAAAAAAAGACAAAAATGGCAAATTATCAATGTTTTGATAGCATAATCTGTCCCTAAATATCATAATTACCTAGTTGCCTGCAAACCCTGTTCAATATCTTTCCTCAATTTATTAATAAAATACATGCTAGAATTACCAAGCTTGGTGGTGAGAATTTAATTTGTCCTTGAGTGTGAGTCAAGCTACATGTATGATTCAACTCTGGCTTTAACTCAGACATTTTTTTATCAAGGTACATAAACAGTAGCAGCCAAAAAGTGCAAATAAGAACTTTGAGGTTTAGGACTCACCAGTTACACTTCAGACTGCACTTTTCAGCATCCCCAATTAAAAAATAATGTCTATGTGTAGAAATAAAATGTACCTAAGAAATTTTGCTGCCTCTGTGATGTGCTTCTTTCCTCCACATTGTAAAAAAGCATGTGCATCTGAACTGGTGTAGTTCTATGATGAAACTTGGTTTGGGGTGAGTTAGATTATTATGAGGTTCAAGAAATTTGGTGGTTAGGGGTCTACAAAGTGGATCATGGCAACTGAAAAATGGGAAAATCACAGAAATCAGTGAATAAATTAGGAAAGAATAAAGTAATTGAAGATTTCATGTGAAGACCTAGTAATGTTTAGTAGCTGAGATGTATTCTGGATCATTCTTTGCTAGGT